CAACATAGGGCCATAACCTGAGAGAATCGGGAAGCGCCAAGTGTCCAATTAGGATGGCTCAGGGGCCAACTATATATAGGCTGACTAAGTCGGGACGCTAAACCTAAACGGGATGGAATCCTGACAGTTCTATCTTCACCCTGTTCACCTGAAGATCACCTGAACCGCCTGAACCTCAATACTGCACACCCAGTGACCCCGCTCAACCCCTGGTCTGCTTTTCCAGCATGAAAAGGCTGAGTAAGATTTGGTTTCTTGGCATAAGGTCACGTGTTGAACCATTGGTAGTCCTAGACTGTTTGTTATAAAGCTCAAGGACCACGACGTGACCTAGCAACCTTCACTTGATTCCAATCATCAATCGTTCATTATCTTTTGTCGTTCTGTTCAAGGAAATGGCGTCTTCCTTGTTCCTAGGCTTAGATGGCGAACCCCTACGTGACAGCGAGGTCCTATGATATGGAAGAACAGGGGTAGTGATCTGCTGCGACAATTTGGCCGTCAAGATTCCCTTGAGGCATCCCTAGAGTAGCGATACAGACGTGCAGTCAAATATGGAGGTCATTGAACGTGAACAAGACGTCTATCATCGTTTTAATCAGTTTCCAAGGGAGCAAGTCGATTGTATCGTACCCTGTCTCAGGCTCGATAAGAATGCCACTCACTTGGCTTATATGGAGAACGGAAACCTACGCAATTACTTGGCAAAGAATCAGCCATCTCGTGCAGTTCAGATTACATGGTTTCGTCAGATGGCCCAAGCCCTTGAACAGGTTCATGATAAATGTGTTCTAGTAGCAGATATTGCTAGTCGCAATTTTCTGCTTGATTCAGATTTATCTATCAAAATCTGTGATTTCAGCGAATCGTCTCTTCTACCCATTGGAACTGTCATGGAAATGGCCGATGACGATGGGTATTCGATACAAACAGACATCCGGCAGCTTGGTGCAGTGATATACGAAGTGATCACCCGACAAGAATGCGACTTCGATCTCTTTAGGGAAGGTATTCCCCCAGACGGTCGGGCTATCTGGCCACCTCGAGACTCGCTTCCTAGCACTGATGGGCTCTGGCTTGGCCCAATTATTGAGAGGTGCTGGGTGGAAGGAGGGTTCCAAAACGCGCATGCCTTATCACAGGCACTGGGCTCTGTGGATTTAATGGGAATCTCGGACGAAGACAGCGGTCTCTGGGACAACCTATTGCCTATAACCCGTTGGAATCACCATGATCATGTCAAAAACTCCGTCATTCTGCTAGCAGTGGTCCTCACAGTTGTCGCATTCATTGGTTCTCGGACCAAGAAACAACCTTGAACCAGGGGTTAATCTTGCTTTTCTTAGCTTTGCTTACCTATAACCTTTTTATTATAATCTGAGGAGGGGTAGACATGTATGCAGCCAACAGGCAAGCTGGTATTTCATTTGTTTGTACAACCCCGGTAGGCAGCCAATCATACACCCTGGTCAATCTCTGGTCCATGTGATAATAACCCTCTCCTCTCCTCATGAACCTCTTCCTCTTGTCTACGTACATTTATTCTGTCTGCTGCGTATCCGGCCTACAGAAAATGGGTATCACAGAAAGTAAGGTGTTGGCCACTCATATTATCGTCGCTTGCGACATAGCCGAGAGAGAGGGCAAAACTGATCTTGACCCCAGTATCCTCTGGGCTTCAAAGGTAAGAGTTCAAATAAACAAGCGAGGCAAATATTGCTTAAGAAATAGTTTATACACCTACTTGTGAATAAGCAGGAGGATGGCTAATAGAGAGATCGCGAGTGTGGACTGAAGCTGGGCTCATCCCTGTCTGACATTGATTATTTTGCAGTCAAGGTCGTGCTAAATAAAGTATTTAATTAGGTTAAGGATAACACCTTTCCTGTAGGCTACTAGCTATGAAATAAAATATTAGCTAGCATGACTACTTACATTAGATTATAGATGCCCACTATCATTCAGCTAAAAGTGTTAGCCAGCGCGGTCAGGTTTGACTAAGGCCAGTGTCTCCTAGACCCATTAGTAAGAAATAATTACATCTTGGACTGCAGAGATAATACCCAGTGGCAATTCCATTAATGATAAACCATAACTCAGTCACATCATCAATCAGAGCTCTTGTTCTTGGAGTGCCAATGAGGGATCTCATTAGAGGCCCATTCAGGACCCTGATAATGATCATATTCAGAAATGTAAAGGCTGCATAAAACACTACATAAACATAAATGAACATACATAAACAATCAATGGAAAGAACCAAGAGGTCGCCAGTGGGTGACTCGTTTAGCAGCGCGTCAATTCTACTGGGAAGTGGAGGACGTGTTGGATTTTGCGGGGGCGTCACAACGATTTGATGCTGTGAGACAACAGGGCAGCCTAACAACGCGAACGGCAACTAGGCCAAGGCAGGTCTTGACGAGGCTCTAAGTTCGTTTTCAGGAAGTGGTGCACTCTACATATACAGTACCTTTAGTGAAATCATTGCCCTAAGGTATATAGATTCTTGACAATAAGCAGGTCTAGTATTGTGACATATCTTAAGACTCGACTTTAGACCTAAGGTATGGAGTGGCTCCTTTCGTCCTTCGCCACTCTTCCATCTGCAGCCATCAATCTCAGATCAACAGCAAAACAGACTTCGATATAAGAATGGTAGTTATATAATGTGAGCTGACACAAGAAACACTGCAAAAGAAGACCCAACAGCTGACCCGCTCAACCAAAACCGAATAAAATCGTTCCGTCCTAATATATACCCCATTCAACGATTTCATCACCTTCGCTAACAGTCTGGCAGGGCATCTGACCCTTAGCGCCGACCTTGTCGAACCACTGGAACTTCGAGATAGAGGTGTTGATCAGGTCGATGATATCCTGATTGCCAATTTTAACGGATTGGGCAACTGGATAGTGGAATGTAACACCAAATGCACACGTTCCGTATTGAACAAGCTGGTGCTGGGTACCGGACATAACGGTCCACGTTCCGCCGCTGGCAATGTTGGAGGCGATTTTTTGGCAGTCGGAGACAAGGGGAGAGCCACTTGAGCTTTGGTTCTCAAATGTCGAGTCGCCACAGTCGTTAACCTGGAAGCGCTTCTCCAGGGCAGATATAGCAGGGTTTTTGTTTTGGGTCTGAGGAGCAGGTGCAGCCGAAGCTACAGCAATGAGGGTAGCAAGGACGGTGGCTGCGTGTAATTTCATGTTGAACGACTTGGGATTGTTCAAGGGAAAGATGCTGGGGGCTTAAGATAAAAGAGTGCTTGAAGCTGGTGATGTACTTATCTTGTAAGTGGCTGCGTGGAGGTCTATATACCTTTTTCCCACCGGGCTTCTATCTCAAGGATCATTTCTCGTATGTAAAAACGGTTTTGATTCCCAGTGAATAGATTGTCCAATATGAGCTCGAGTGAGCTGAATGGACTATTTCTCGTAAAGGATCCTTGTTAGTAGTTGGCTTTAAACTAGTCCATGAGAGCTACTTTAGGTCTCATACCTGCAGCTAAACACTGCCTCAGTGTCTGACCAATATGGAGTCATTGCCAGACTCTAGAGGCCTCGGTGTGAATGGCCGTCTTCTGTCTCCGATCCACCACACTACCGGAATCATGAAGCATAATATCCACCTCAGGAAGTCATCAAAGTAACGTTAGGAGTCTCTGGGAAAAGCATTTTGCTCTAGCCGAACCTGACATTATCTACTGCATAAGGCGAGTCACCCTTCCCCAGGGCATCCCGCCTTGCGGCGGGAGAAAGGTTTGCAGCCTTGCTACCTACCAATCTTCAATTAACATTCAGCTGCAATCCGCGGGTACCTAGAGAGGAAGTGAAGACAGGACTCTCAGTGACAAAAGTCGTTTTCTGGCCCCATGGGGGCTAAACCGGGCGCTGATGCTAACGGTGTCCCCAAGCGCCTCCAATGCGCTGTTCAAGTGGTGAGCACCTCGCTTTGGGTTTTAGTGCAGGCGCTATTTGGCCAGAGGGTGATTCCAGCCGCAGCTAGTGGGTTGGAAAGCGATATGCAATCGACTTGTGTTCCACTCCCCAGTCAACCCCCGCACCTGGACAGCTCATGGAGAGCTCTGGACCTTGTCATAGTCGTGATCTCTAACCCAGCCCAGTAACAATTCCACCCTGACAGGAAGCACTGTTTGTGAAGACTTTTAGACCTTTTTCCTGCGACTACACATGTGTTAATCACCTCGCCTAACACATGCTTACAGCTTAATTAAAGAGTCTCATTTAGCGTTATGTGGGGAATCAGAAACTAGTTTCAGCGCGAAGGATGGACGGCGCCTTGGCTGATCACCCTGGTTCCGCGACGTCAGGGCGGCATGAGGCCCTGAGAACTAAGACGTACCTGGCTTGGTAGGGGTCAGTTAAGCATACTGTAATGGTCGCCTAGTCCCTAACAGCTAAGCTCTGGGCTAAGAAGGTAAGTCATGTCTTATCTTTCAATTAACGACAACCGTCCATATCCCAGAGATGCCATAGTAGATTCTAGACCTTTAGACCACAGAATATATGAGGCTTTCAGGGGGTAACGACGATGTAACCTCACTTGTTGAATGGTATTACTGACTATCAACCTACCTCCAATGGTCTCCCCAAATTCCAAAACAGAAAGAGGTAGAGAATCATCAAATTCATAACAATTTTCCAGAACCAATATTATTTGTATGCCGTGATCACTGACTCCCAGAATAAGAGAAAATGCTACATAATTGCTAGGCGCTTTGAGGTTCTTTAAGATGTAATTTAACCTACGGAGTACAATATCATTAAACCTTTAATGAAAGAACTATATTTCTTTGAAGCTATATCAGGGTTAGGCTGGCCGTAGAGAAGGGATTTCCCATATTTATCGGTATCCCATCGGGAGTCCCACCTACCTTATGTAAGGAATCTCCGTGCGCTACTGCATGGGTCCGGATTTGGTCTTTTGGCCTTGTGGGAAATCTTAAGTATCCAGCTAGATTCCATACACCTTAGAGATGGGATTAGGGAATCCCATTATTTCTTAGTCATGGGATGGGATTCCCATGAAGTATACTAGAATAGGAAGGGATTTCCTATGGGAATCTTGAATTTACAAATACATCCTTTACACCAAGGACTTATACAGATTGTTACTAGTGGTTATTATAACTACTAATTACAATAATCATAGGTAATAGTATACTACTAAATCTAAACCTACTTATACTTTTATTACTAGGTAAAGGTTATTACTATTTTAGGTATATAATGGCAGCATCAATCTGGGGAAGCAGAGCGAGTGCGCTGTAGTATCCGGGTAGACTGCCACTATGGCAGATCAGTAGGCCACAATGGCCACAGGGAGTCAATACTGGCATCTTTTTAACATATAATGAATTCCAACCCAGTCCTATGATGGTACTGGGTAGCTGGTTCTGGTAATAACCACATGCATATGATTTTTCAGTCACTGTTTCGGCGGTGAAGATATGCCCTGCAAGATGGGTGGTCATGTTATACAGGATGATATCATCAATGTTGCCTCTAGTAGACTTGATGTGGTGTGCTTGAAGAAGGCTGACACTATACTTAAGATAGTCACTGAGGGAGCTGCTGATCCCTATGGCAGGGACTATGATGGCATCCCCATGCACCAGGGGCTGTGGCAGGGGACACAGGGACCCATTATCTAGTGTAGTATATAGCTTCACAAGTCATAACATTAGGCCCCGTAGTTGCTACAGGATCAGCAGTTGTTGTTTAGTTAAGGTGAAGAGGCTTAAATACTTTCTTAGTAAGGAAGTCTCTGTAACTAGCTCAGGCCACTAGCTTACTTAATAATCTCACTAAGGATGGCATAGACCCAGTTGCTATAAGCCCAAGACATCTGGAAAGAGCCCATTAGCTTAAGTGTGCTAAAGAATGGAATTATTCTACTCTTCTCCTGCAAGAGCACGCCCCCAGCCCCTTGCCACCAGTGATTTAACTGTGCCAGCCTACCGCGATGACAGAGAAGATCCAGGACCGTCAAGTTGTGGGAGACTTATTTAAGTTACTGCTGCACTTTGTTTTCAGACCACATTGCTCGCTTGGAGCAGATAATCCATCTCAGTCATATGAACGTCTTTACCCATGAAGTAGGCGTAAAGTCTAATTAAGGTTGCCAGAGATCGGCCACTACGCAGTGTAAATCGAACCAAGGATTCTACCCGGTCTAGAACACATGGTCCCAACGATTGTTACTTGCCTATTTGTGCCTCGTCGGGCTTCAGCCTCATTTCGAGGAAAGATGTTTGGCAGATAGGTAGGTGAAGCGGCCATTACAATGATCATGGACGGATGTGCTGGTCCATTTCTCCAACCAAATACAAACTGGGCCAATCAAACCCATAACAACGGCTTTTCAATTGAGATCAAGATCTCGTCAGACCCCATTCCCAAAGTAGTGACTAGCAGAAAACAGCAGAGATGGATCCCAGGGTGTGACAAGAAGTTTATAAAGCTAAGGAATAACTATATATCTCTTATAGTGGTGAGTGCTTCCTATTTGATACTACTTGTATCTTATTAGGGTCTATTCACATACCCTCACTAGCTTTAATAATGGGATAACGGTTGTCGCAATGGCAGTAGAGCCTTCAAATAGCATGAGGGTCGGGGGTAGGCCAGTGGCCACTCCATACATAACACGTCAGTATCAAAGGGATCAACAACTTATTTATATTTTAACCATAGCTAATAAGGAATGTAGGGGTTGAGAGAGCTAAGTGTAATATGATAATAAACCCATAGATTCCATTCTGGATCTATCAGGTTATGTTCGAATGATCCTTGCTCTAATCATGCGTCTTCCCAATGCAGCGATCACTAGTCTTCTTACAACTACACATGACTTCCATAGGCTCAGTGTGGTCGTATGATAAGTTTCGAGGCTCTTGGGCAGAAATGTATATCCCTCATTGCTCCATCAGGTGTATCACCCCTGGATAAATATAAAAGTCTGCTACCTACCCCGATGCCGTTATAGTTTCCATCAATCCGGCATAACAAAAATATTCCCCAGGTTGAAGGAAATGGATCAGTGGCAAGCTTAACTGATGCAAGCTAGTTCCACCGTTTGGTAGATCATGCTACATCCTTATTTTGGCCTCGGCTCCGCTTTCCTACACAGCCTGGCCGCTCCTAGGCTTGGTTCATAGTCGGGATTTTCATTTTATGAGTGTCGACTGGGACATTTAATTATCTGCAGTTCGGGTCATATGACCAATCGTCAGAGATTAACACTGTGGTTTCAGGAGGGCAGCTTCCTATTGTTCGTATCTGAAGACTACATGTTCACATATTAGAAAAGGGACGCTGTCTTGATTTTGGAAGTCAATCGTTTTACCATACTCTACTCTTGTCAGTATGTCTAGGTTGAAAGGTGGCTGCTTTTAGCCCGCATTTACCGACAGGCTTTTTTGCCTGATGAATAGATCCTTACGTTGATCACGAAAGAAAACTCCCTCAAGAATTTGATTCGGTATCTCCCTACATCTTCTTTAAGAAAAACATCGCCAACATGAAACTGCGGCCTCCTTTAAACACTCAGATCTAAGCTCACATCCCTCTTCATTGTTGTCACTAAACTGGATTCGGTGCACAAGGTTGCAATATACCCTAACAGTCTGTTCTTAATCACAGATCTATAGAGAAGTTAGATAAGGAAACTAGCAATGTGGTGGAGAGGAGCAGAGTGCAAACGCACGCAAGGACCATGGCCCGTAGTGCACCAAGGGCAATTCGGATTCATCTTGTTTGGTATGGAAGAGTTGAAAGTCTCCCTTGGCTAGATTCTGGGTATGTGGATTGAGGTATGTTGGTTTCAAGGTATAAAACTTGATTCGTGTAGTGAGTGATAAGGTGAGAGGATGGAGAAGGATGAGTCTGAGGTTTATATGCTTCTTAGTCTGGGGGTTCTATCCACTTTATTGAGCTGAATTGGTAGACCCCCGCTTGAAAACAAGACGTCATCAGCTGTCGATCAGTTTCCGCCATCCATTGAGAAAGATTACACCCCGTGGATCTCCGCGCTATGCCTCACGCTCCTGCAAATACCGCAGCATGGTGGAGTTTGCCAGCCTGGACTGCAATAACGAAAGACCGTCAATTCGCTGATACCTCTTGTCCATGCCGATCCTGGCGCCCCAGTGGCTCCCGGCGCGGCCTGAGCCATCCTGTGGGGTAGACTGCGGGGTGGCTTGACCATCTGCTTCAGCCAGCCACTTCTGCAGCGTGGGACCGTGCTGCCTTACTACCGTGCAGGGCTCTGATATCTTCTGTACATCACTGGACGTCATCGCTGGAAGGACTGGACGTCATCCCCTCAAGGCAGTAGATGCCAGCGAGGAGCCTATTGCATTATACCTGATACAGGGGAGGGGACTGTCAGGAGTACTGAATCCACTCTGATAGATAAAGGCATTACCGGAATGATTACAGACATAGCTGGGTCTATTATAACAAACCGCGCCGGACTGACCGATTACGAGTAAAGACAGGAGGCTGATGAGCTTCCGAAGCCTTGGTCATGAATTCAGAGACAAGACCATCCACTATTAGGTAAATTGATTCTCAATCCTGGAACGTAGTCAGCAGTTACTTTGGATCCCTTTGTTGTCATTACACCTTATTAGCACAGTAGAGCAGGCTGGCACTCCCTCAAACTGCCGTAGGAATAAGGGATTGACTTGCGCAAGGAGAAATGATGTCCACAACGATGACTAGCTTAGCCAGAATGGGCCCCCTTCTGAATAGTGTACAAGTAATTGGCATCCAATCAACAGAACAGAATCCGCCGCAGCCAATCCGACCTCGCTTTTCTCGCCATGATAGACAACTGTGCCCCGGGGCTCAGACCCTCGAATCCATGATACGCACCGGGCCAAGCGTGGAGCTCGCACTGCGTTCCGTCGCGCCACATGTTCTGCGCATACTGAACATCCTCATCGCGAAATGTCTCCGTCGATCCGACATCGATATACGCCGGCGGGAGCCCAGCAAGATCCTTTGCTCTGATAGGGGCTGCGTACACGCTGACGTTGTCACTTCCTCTGCGGTCACCCAGATACGCATTCCAACCCGTCATATTCGCGTTGCGGTCCCAGATGCCGACGCCAGTGAACTCGTGCGCAGACACCGAATTATTACAATCATCGATCATGGGCGAGAAGAGCGATTGTCCAATCAATCGAGGACCTTTTCGGTCGCGACATAGCAGCGCTACACCCGCGGCCAGCCCACCTCCGGCTGAGAGCCCGTTGATCACGATGCGAGCCGAGTCGATTCCGAGTTCTTCTGCGTGCTCTTGTACCCACACCAGACCTGCGTAGCAATCTTCGATCGGTGCAGGGTAGGGGTGTTTGGGCGCAAGTCGGTATTCGATTTAGGTGCAAATAGCGTCGTAGTCGCGAACGAATTCGAGCAGGCCGCTTAGGCTGCAGAAGCGGTTGCCCATGACCATCCCTCCGCCATGGATGTGGTAGATGGTTGGTTGTTTATGTGGTCCGGAGTCTGGCAGACTCTCTTTGCGGAAGATTGAGAGGGTCAGTGGGTTTTTGTCAGGACCGAGGAAAGTGTGTTCTTCATGAGTGACGCCCGGAAGCAGGATGTCATTGACTCGGACTGGCGTCTGTGCACATCGGATTAACTCATCATAGTCTGGAAGGAGGGATTCCAGCTCGCGGTCGATTGGTAGCTTCGGTTTTGGAGCCATCGTGTCTGTTTAGGAATCAATGATTGACGAGCAATGGGTTGATAGAGATAGATGACATATAGACGGCGGGAGAACTGCGCTTTTATGGTCATAGTCTTTGATGCCAGTGAATGAGGTAAACCAGAAGAACATGAACCTCGAGATTGACTCAGTTGGAATGATAGGGAATGATTCAGTATATTCACAGTGGGGCCATAGATACTGCTACGTAGGAGGTTCTGTCTGCCTTGCAGTCATACTTATGACAATAAGAACAAGATCTAGACTTGCGAGACGTGGCTCTGTGATCTCCTAAGGGTAATATAGTGGCAGATATCAACGAATTGATAGTGGAGATATCAGAGATATTGAGTCTCCCATCCATAAACAGTATCCCAATCCGGCAAGTCCGATGATTTTTAGCTCAACGGATACCGAATGAGAGCGGATGAGATGATCTCAATGGGCTCCACTATAGTCCATGAGATCTCAGTCTCATTGGATCAGCGAACATTTAGCTCGTCCTGCGAACCAAACTCTCATTGTGAGACAGCATGACTTATGTCTTGGCACAGCCACTTACAATGCTGATTGGCCAATGGTCACTCTTTGTTCTTTCGTTTTCGATGCCTGAGGTATCCCAAGCCATATCGAGCGTCAGCAGATTCAACACAAGAACGAGATATAAGAACTGATCAAGTCCACAATGGCTCGTTCGGAACTAAGACACAATTGAACAGTGCAATTATCCTCAATTTCCCACTTCATGTTTGGTCTTCGCAGCACTCATGGCTCTCAGTACATATCATCAACCAGCAGATACACCTCTCCCCGTCAAGGAGCAAAGCATGACAACAGCTGATACTGAGTCATTGAGCAGTTCAACTGCCCCAGAAGATGGGTCGCAATACCCTAGAAAGCTTAAGCTGTTTGCCATCGTCTCAAGCTTGAATCTAGCCATGTTCCTGATCGGACTGGACAACACCATCATTTCGACCGCCATTCCCAAGATTACCGATCGCTTTCACGCCCTTGATGATGTAGGCTGGTATGTGAGTGTCTATCTCTCACGAACTGCGCGTTCCAGTTGGTCATTGTCATCCGATATCATTCCATGCGCAGGAGCGTTGGAGGTGCGTCAGGTTAAAGACCTACATTGGCTCCTTCTAGCAGGACATATAACTAAGACTGATATGGGAACGTCAATAATAAAAAGTGAACTAAATATGCAGCTAGAATGTACGCTGAGAAGTGAAACAGTCTATGCAATATCGGCGGATGTGTTCTACGGAACGCCAGGCCATATCATCAGATATGTTAGCAGCACTTAATGCTCTGATTGTGCCTGAAATTGCGTATTTTAGGACTAAACCCTAATTTCTCGTATTGTGGCGTTTCTGCCACTTGTAAAGAGTGCGATTGCTGCCTGCCTCCAGATGAATGGGTTTAATTTTGATACACTAAGATTAGGCACTGTTTCCCAGTCCCATTTAATTAGTTGGCGCCGATAAGTAGACTCGGAAACCTTCCGCTTGGTCCATACTAGAGGCAGGAAAGAATAGGCAATAACATATAAGTATGGTTTGGCGTGATGATATGATAGCCTCACAGGTGCTCAATTGATGTGTAAAACATTGAGTATGCTCCGTTGCAAACTGGCCCACTCTCTATACCACGTAAAAAGTGCTCGCTTGAGCCCAAGTGATAGAATCTAGAATCTCAAGAAAAACATTAAAATGTGCACTCATCTAGAGATGGCCCCAGCTCAAAGCCTCACCACCCCCCTCAAAAGGCATACGTATGTCTTTGCTTGGCAGTGGAGATTGCGGAGCTTACCTTTTGCTTAGCTGTCTTGCAGTCCCATTGTGCGCGGTCATAGTGAATTAGTAGAATATCAGATAGTGGAGCAGACGGCCTTTGTGGAAAAAAGAGACCACGCACACTGGGGCCAGCGTCCGATTTTCCCAATCTGCTAACTAACCACTATTACCCTCGTTTCTCCAATTTGAAGTCTAGCATTCTCACTATCGAGAACCATTGCCCTTGGAGCCGGTATCCACCTCTCAATCCTGACTCGAGCATGCGAAAAGTCGCAGACACCTTGCCGGCTAGCCCGGTGAGAGGGTGATTGGGGTATAAAATGCATATCGATTCCTCTTTTGTCAGAATTGAATTGAGAGTCACATTCTACTTATCTTTCACTTGCCTTCTTGATCCTCTTATCTTCCTAGAATTTTTTCAATGCAGGCTTGGATCCTTTTTTTCGTTCTCATCTCGGACATTAGCGCCATTATCATTCGACTGGGATCAGGAGAATGGTCAGTGAACGCAAAATTGTCTCTGATCTGCTCGCATTTGGTGTTATTGACGGATGCCTTGCGAACGACAATGTTACAACGGTAACCTACACGCCCATTACCGAGGCATGGGCCGGTCTGGGAACCAACCTGACTGTGACCTTCGATATCGTGAGCGACGACTATCTCTCCCTTTACACCAACAGCTCCCTGGAGAAGCGGACTGGTATCGCACCTTGTCGCGGCAGCAACCATCGTTAATTCGATTTTGAGCGTTATTCTGGCAGCGAACGCAGGTCTCGAGATCTACGAGGATATTGCCGCTATGATCAAGAGCAAATCTAATCAGAACTCATGCTCCCTGGTGTATGGCACCGACTCTGACGGCACCTACGTTGAAGGTTATGCTTACGAGGCCACGACTAGTGGCGAGAACTGCGACACGACAGCGGAGAAGAAGACTATCATTGCGGCAGTGGAGAAGTGTGCTAACAAACTGAATGGCCAGGGCGCGATTCGGGGCTGCTGCACCATGAACCACGGCGGTACATGGACGGGACACCTGCGTTTGACTGCTAGTCCATCACTTTACCCAGCGCACACAGTCACCTATTAAGAGAAAGTGCTGCTGCTATGGCGGACGTGCGACATTTAGCAGTATCATGTCTCCTTTTTGGGGGGCTTTTGACTACCAGACGGGCAACTGCTTGGGCTGCTCATGTAATGTGCCACTTCTGGCCTATATATACTGAGAAATCCTACATACCACTCTAAGATAAGTTGTTATTCTCGTAACTTCGCATTCAGTGCCATAACCGGGAATACTGTAATATCTTCATTATCGTTCCGTATTCGAACTCCTTCGCCTGTGTGAGCTGTGTCTCTGCCAGTCGCGTGGATGGCGTGATCACTGGTGAGGACATACTGGGACACAAAGCAAGGTCATGTCAATACCTTGGTATAATGGCCCTGCTAATGGATGATCTGCTGTGGGGCCGTCCCCATCAGTATAGACATGTAATCGGAGTCAAATACTCAATATCCTGGACGAACTAGACATACCCGTCCTTGAACTGATTCATATCAGTTGATGTGGGCTGAAGTGGCGCATATTCTAGCTGTTTTGCAGAGTCTGTGCCAGGCACACATAAAAAGTGATGCAGGTACCTGGCTAACCTAGCTATTGAGGTTCATCATGCAAGCACCATGTCACTTATGCTAGAGGAGAGTTATGAGGTCTTTACTGCTTGAATTAGGTTAATTAGTTTTACATTATGACTCAAATTTTTGGTTAAAACCAGCAGTATATTAGATGTTCACCATGAAAAATACTACCATCTGAAAGCTGAAGAGCATAAGGTATAATATAACATCAGGATGAGCCACTACCTCAAGTAAAGAACCTATTCTAAAGTTATCTCTCCCTTTAATTCAGTAGATCTTTCATCAGATATCAAGTTTTGTTCAGCCTCTATTTTTATCTCTACCAGCGGTAAAGATTTTACCCTTAGGCAGATATATATTATTGTGGTAGCGTGGGGACAGTTCTTCGGCTTCCTCGATTTATCTATACTTCGTTTCGCTCTACCTTGCCCTGCAGATTATTTATATCCTTTTAGTCCAAGGTCTTCATGGGATAGGAAAGTCCAAGCCTTTCCTCTCAATCGATTGCCAACACTTGCGGCTTGACCTTAGTCGTCATGGTGTAATGAAATCCAGATCAGCAACCAGCCCTGTGGGTCGTTGCCGCGTGGCGGATGCGTATGTTCTCACCACCATCCTAAATCTGTCAATCCGGGCCGAACTTGAGTGGACAATGAACCTCTGAGGCCTTGGACGACAAACTACTAGTGACAAAAATAGGCCGTAGAGGATGACGAGAAGAGGCTGTAGACTGCGGACGAACGTGGCTAGCCACGGCATCCACTTCGACTGGGACCAATTTAAAGTGCTTGTTTTCCCACAATTACTGTATCCTGAAAGAGACATAGATCGTTGAAAAGTTATCAATCAGCCAATATGCGAGTGGCCGTCATATTTGCTACATTAGCAGCGATCCAGCTGGCGGACTGTCAATCCGATTTCGATGGACACGGAGAATATAACCTGCCAACAGCAACAAGGATCAGGCATTCACAAGACTCAAATCCCAATGACAGCCGTCTCTTGAGGCTAGAAAGGCGATTTGGAGAATGGATACTAAAGCGCGATACCACTACGACTGCAGATGCCGTTGCATCAACTACTGCTACTGAGAGTGTGACCTCTGTGACAACGACCAGCAGTTTCGATACCACGACAACCTCGACCACCTCGACTACCAGTAGCACCATTTCAACAACCTCTTCATCATTTACGACAACTACTGCAGCAACAACGACAGCATCAACATCAGCTACAACATCCAGTACCTCCAGCAGCACCGTCACATCGTCCTCATCCGCATCCACCGCCGCATCAACCACAACAAGCACAGCAACAACGACAACCTCAACCACCACACCAACCACCACCGAATCCGCCGAATTGAAAGAATGGAACCATCGCGGCACCATCGCCGCCATCGTCACCTTCAGTATCCTCGGTTCCTTCTTCGTAGGCGCCTGCATGGCCCGATGCATCCACAATCGGGCCAAGAAACGACGCATCGAGGCGAGGAAGCAACTCGACAAGGAATCTTTGGTTTCCATGTTGCCGCTGGCCCGAGAGAACGGGAAATCGGCGAGCCAGTTGAAGCTGGATCGCGAGTCGATCATGTTCTGCGACGAGAGGAGGTATTACCAGGGACAGCCGCGGCCGGAGAGCGTGCCGTCGTTGTCGGGGCAGTCGAATTGGCAGGGGTCTGTGGCGCATTCGTCCATGCCGTCGGAGGATATGGGCCGGTCGATGAGTAGTGGGAGGCAGACGCCATTGGGTGTGAGGGGGGAGCAGCATGGGTCATTGGAGGTGTAAGAATCATGAGATTATCCGGTATCAGCATGGACTGAATGTGTCGATTTCTATTGTGACAAACGAGGCCTTTAAACTTGCCGTGATGGCCATGAAGGAATACTACGATTGAGCCCACAAACCTAGGTATCTTATTAAGTGGCTAGCCTACGGTGATAAGCGCAACCTATGGATAGATTCAACCCAATACAATAGTAACCATATAGATTATTCACCTTTACCTTTCGCCTGCTACTAACTATTCTTTTTTCTATGCCTTAACTATCTTACTAGCACTACTATTATTAGTTCTAGATATTTCCTCCCGCATCGCATGATGCACATAATACATTCACCACCAACACATTATCAACTCCCTCCCCTCACTCACGATCCCTCCTCATCTCAACTGATTCTCCCTCTCACCACGTTCCATCCACCTCTCATGATCGACGATACCACTATGATTATGGTTATGAAACCCTAGACTGACGAGTACTTCGTCCGGACGACCTTTTGGCCTACTGGTATTATATTTCTATACGAAACAATCATCGCTAAAAGGAGGAAACTCTCCCGGGAGGATGAATATACTAATATCTTCCTCTTTATCAGCATGCTCAAACCGCATATCTTACCGCAACCAGATCTTCCAGAGTTACCTTTCGTGTCACCTCTGAGGTCCCATGATAGGTTGACATTCCCTTACCGCTGATGAAAATTGGCTTCTCAAAAAGGTTTACTCCAACACATAGTCACAAGGCGAACATCTCCAACGCATACATAGAGGTCTATCTGAGGCCCTGCACCAACCATAAGGAATTTCATGACTTAGTCGACGCGAGTGGACGCGCAATAAAGGCTGAGGAGTTCTACCTTGACCCAGCTGCATGTACCCGCATCCAACTGTTTCGGATCATCCCAAAGCTCCTAAAACACTACCTGACCAGTCTGGAAACCCAAATGACTAACTTTCAGCACCCTATGCGCCAGTATAGACCGGAACGGAGATCGTGGGAGTACCGGCTGCTTCATTTCCTTGTCAAAAACCATCCCGATTGCATGGTAAATGATGTGACTGAGGCGGATCTTGACGATGCGTTTGAAATGGGGGCGATGACTTATATCCACCAAGTCCCAGCCCAGCACAAAGGCGCCAGCACCGCAGATATTACCGAACGGATTACCCAGATAAAGAACGCGATCGAACGCCTTGACGACCTCATTGAGGCAGAGACCAAGAAAGATGAACATCAGAAGACTGATGACGATGACAAGCCGGTGTTACCATCAGATAGTGAAGAGGAACCACATCCATCCAACACCAAAGATGAGATTTTCCTTACCGAAACGGGATTTCCCTTACCGACTGGGCCGAAGCGCCGTGCATACCATACATGGGTGCTGGATCCAAAAAAGTGACTTGCCAAAGAAACCCAATAAATTGGATAAATACTGCAAAGCATTCGACATTAGCACGGCTACTGAAGTGCAGGCGAATCTGCTGAGCGGTCAATGGAAACTCGAACACGCCTCTGGACTGTGACACAAACCAAGGTTAAGCAAATATGTGCCCGCTGTGGTTCTGATGATGCCAAAAGTTATATACAGTACTCATCAGGTGTCAACGGGGAAACAGAAAGTCTTTGCATGACATATGGAGTTTACTGGCAAGACCATCATGCTCACAGGCCTAATCACCTGATTGAGCGACAGAAGGCAAAAAGAGATGGTATTACACGCTCATGTGCGTTATGTGGCAGTAAGACCACTAAACACTGGTTTCGGGACCCGGATGATCCTTACAAGTGGAGGTATATATCCTGCTACAACCGTGAGTATCGGAAGAAGAAGAAGGCGTTGGGTCCCCCCATGCCAAGGGACCAAAACCGAGTCGACCATCTCAACGAGGCCAATTCCAGGAGATGGACAGTCCGAAACGACGGTGATGGGCACCGTATCAGCTACATTCGCTGTACCCGAAATTACATCCCAGACCTAGGATCCATCCAAGACCCCCAAAAAAGGCGAGGGCAAAGAGTTGACCTGGCAGGAAGAAGGGTTCCCAAAGGGGAGGAATCTCATAAGTAAGGATGTCATTTCCTTCTTGCTACGACATGGAATCGACAATTCAGTTACAAGTGCCTGAAAGCATGATGAGGTGGTTATACTATTATGAAATATCCTTTTAACACACCCCCTGATCCAGTCACAGTGAGGCCAAAGACAGCCATTATTACTCTTACTGTTGGTTATCTGCGGTGTCAGGAGAGCTGAAAGACGAGATGACGACTACGCTTCATGCAGATCTAGAATGATGATATACAATACAGTTTAGCCAGTCCAACCATGTCAATACACTCGGAATGATCTTCCAAATACCAGTCGAGGCTGTCGAGCTCTATCTGTTGTCAGCCCCCGACTCTTCGCTTCCCGACGATCTGTCGACGACGACAAGACTCATTTCATTGAGGAGTTCCTCGACCTCGACCTCGCCAGCCTTGACTGCCAGATCCAGTGCTGTCCGGCCATTATTATCTTTCAATTCAGCTTCAGCACCGTGCCCAAGGAGAAAGTGCACATCGTCTCGTAGTCCGGCTTGGGCTGCCATGTGCAATGCGGACTTACCAAACATATCAACCGCATGGATGTTGGCGCCCTTGTTCACCAACAACCTCATGACATGATTCTTCGCTTTGACAGCTCGATGCAGCGGAGTCTTCTTGTAGTCGTCCTGCATCTCGAGTTCCGCCCCGTTCTTCAGCAGAAACTCCACCATCTTGCGATGACCGCGTTCGACTGCCTTGTGAAGCGGTGTTTCCCCACAGTGGTTCGTGACATTGATATCGCAGTCTTTCTCTAGTAGCAAGCCGACTAGTCGTCTGTGACCTCCTATCACTGCGAGATGAAGAGGTGTATCCCCGGCGTGGTCGGCGGCTTCGGCGTCTGCACCATTGGAGATGAGCATCTCCACTATCTGGTCGCGTTCATGAAGCACTGCTAGATGCAGTGGTGTTGTGCCATCCTTGGCTGCAGCATTCACTTGCGCACCTCTCTGGAGGAACAAGGCTGTCAGATCCACATCGCCATCCGTCGCTAATATGTGTAGAGTAGTCCTCCCCTTGGTATCTCTCGCGTTGACATTGGCACCTTTCTCAAGCAGCAAATTGAGCATTTTCATCCCGCGCTTCGTTCGATCGAAGACCACCAACGCCAACAGGAGTGGTAGACCGGACTCTCCGCACGGTGAATCGATGTCGGCGCCCTTCTTGATCAGGTATTTCACGATGTCTGCATGGCCCCTTCTGCCGGCCTGGTACAGAGGCGTGCCGCGTGGCCCTTTTTCGTCCTGGGTAGAAGGCTGTGCCTCTCTGTCAGCGCCATGGCGCACGAGCAGTCGGACCACAGGTAGGTGACCATTGCGAGCAGCCCACCACAACGGCGTCCTCTCGACCGCATCAGCAGCATTCACATTGACTCTCCTCGACCCGATCAGCAATCGAACCACCTCTTCGTGTCCTTTCTCTGCGGCCCACAGCAACGGCGTCCGCCCGTGATTATCCTTGACATCCGGATCGGCGTTTACCTTGAGAAGCTGCACCACAAACGGCTGGTTACCCTGTTCCACGGCCCAATAAAAGGGAGTCTGGCCATTGACGTCGGCGAGGTCAGGATTGAGATCACCGCGCGCGAGTAAACGATTCATAATCCCTTCGTGCCCATTCTTCACAGCCAAGTACAGCGGCGTTTGTCCATCGGCACCAGGGGCGTTAGGATCAACCTCACCGCGTCCGAGTAAAGCTCCCGCCATCGCTTCGTTTCCGTTCTTCACAGCCCAGTATAGCGGTGTCTGCCCCGCAGCGTCAGGCGTGCCCGCATTGGTATCCGCCCGCCCGAGTAATTGTCCTACTATCCCCTCATTTCCGCTCTTCACAGCCGCGTACAGGGGCGTCTCGCCGTTGATATCGGGAATATTCGGGTCGACATTGTCCAGGGCAAGCAATTTACCCACAACCCCTCCATGTCCACCTTTTACTGCCCAGCACAGCGGCGATTGACCCGTTCTGGTATCCACCGCATTCACGTCTACCGCCCCAGTCTCGAGCAAAATCTGAAGAACGCTCTCATGACCACCCTCTGCGGCTAGTGAGACCGCGTTCCGTCCATCTTCGTCTTTGAAGTCGAGACGCACACCGGGGGTGCTGAGGAGGAGTTTGACGATCGTATCGTAGCCTTTGCTTGCGGCGAGGAAGAGCGCGACTTCCAACTTGCCCGGTACGGGCTTTTCTTCCGTCATCTCGACAACGCACGTAGCTGTCCTATCGTCTGCTCATGAGTGACTCTTCACTTGGTCTTCAGACAAGTTGGTAGTAGGACGAAGGTCACGTAGAGTGGCAGTCGATGACAACATAAATCACAAAACCTGGGCAGACCCGCATCTCTGCGCCGCCACGTGGGTGGCTTTTACTGGTCGCGATGGAGGAAAAGTGCCGGCAGGATCCCAGGGGAGGTGACAATTGTTCCTGACTTGGTAAGTTGTCATACGTTGGTTGTGCTTTCGGGCCATCGGGTTGACTGGGTTGCATGGTTTTGCGAATGTTCCGGAATCAATTCGTCAAGGTTGCGCCGTAGTCTGTTGTTGGTCTGGATCGGGATCCGGGCAAATGGCGTTGTATGAGGTCGATCGGTGGATGATGAGAGGGGCATTATGGAGACGGATCGTGCCTGACGGACCCGGGATTCACTATATGCATCAGTCTGGCAGCAATCTTATGAGTGATATCAATGCCTCTACCTGTTGAAATACTCGTCTCCTAAATATCTGTAGATGAGTGGAATTACCCCGCAGTCTTGGAGTGATGCTATCCCGCTTCTGGAAATTTCCCAACAAGGCAGGTCTGTCGAGTCGGGGTGGTTTGCTGGCAGTCTATGGCATTAGATCTTTTGATGTATTTTGTAGCAAGGTCTTCACTATAGTATAGTATCCCCTTTAATAATGACTTGGCCTGTCCTGATTCGCTTGTCCCTGCCATTCGTGGGAATCATGAAGATGCCATCAACGAGGCACAAAATAACTAACTTCAATACGTTGAGGATTCATGTTTTCGGTGGAATCTGAAGGCTAAAAGCAGAGGAATCAAGCACAAGCGGACGGGTCAAGCACATTCTGCCTACAATACATCCTTCCTCTCCCACCCCGTCTGACGAAGGTTCTCGATTCCCTTTGTCGGGTGAGGCTTATCGGCGTCTTTATACACACTGACAAACGGGTTTGGATCCTTCTTCCACTCCAGATTGCCCAGTGTATGATTTACCTCGCGGTGTTTCGCTTCGTCCGCCCTGATATACAACAGCAGGTCTCGCATTTTGCGGTTTCCCTCAGGCATATTCCAGTACTTGACCGCGATCTCAGGGGCCTCCATGTCCTCCCATCTAGGCAGTTTACCCGCTTCTATGTCGGCGATTTCTCGTGTGTACGTTATAACGGCTTCCTCCTCGAGGTATCCGACGAAGCGGTGACAGGTCTGCGGGCTGATCACATATGCAATGAGGAAGGCGCTGAAAAAGACACCTTGGGCCCCGAGGACGGAAATGCGGAGGAAGGGACCTGGTTCGGCCATCTGGAGGAATGTGAAGAGATGCATGCGTTCGTTGTAGGATTCTTCCAGGAGTGTTTCTATCCTGGAGCGTGTTGTCAGCAAAGTCGCTCAACATCACAACACATCTACTCTGCACCGGATGCCGGGTGCCTACCAGCCATTATCTCGTTTCATCTTTCGAAGACTGCGAAGATGCCTCAGCATCCCACCGACCATCCCGGGTACTCCCGCAATACTCTCCAGAAATATATTCCGGGTAAGATACTTCTCTTCGGTCATGGCATACTTCTGAGTTGCTTTAGCTGGGTCCTTTGCGTGAAGAGCGACAGCCGCATCGTGTCGGTAGCCAGACGCAAGATCAAACCCCCAGCGCAAAAGACGGATTGTGGTCAGAGCGACCTTGTCGCTGAGAGTGCGTGGTTCTCGGTGAGCGATCTGTACTCTTTTCAACTGCTCCTCGGTGTATCTATCTCTGGGATTAGAGTGGTTCGTCAAGTCTGGGCCTTGATAATGCTCACATTGGATGCGGCCACGCAGCAGGTGTCGTTTTGATCTTTTTCGTTTCCGCTTCGTGTGAAAGGAAGGTCTTTTTCGTTTCGGTTTCGGGGGAAAAGAGGCGGATTTGTTTGGAAGGGGATGTTGAGAATGGTCGGATTAAGGCGAGTTGGACGTTCAAGGTAATAACCGGGTGCGATTTGAGGGCGCATCTTGTTGCTAATAGTGGAGAAGACATGGTAAATGGTTGCTGATCGAATTCATGATCTCGAGTTCTTCGAGTATCGCCAGAAAGAAAAAGCAGTAGCTATCTGTGGGAAATGTCGCAGTGGTGGCACTCTACGTACACTATAGGTCATAAGTCTCCCAACACCTCAAAAAATCGAAAAAACACACCATATTATTATAGTATATAAGAATAAACTATAGGATAGTAGATATCAATATTTAGTATATCAACCCCTTACTCAGTATATAGCATGTAATCTACGCAGTATTAAGCATATAAGATAGTTAATTACCTCCTGTAGGATAGCATTCTATACCTCCCTAATAGTACCTCTAAAACACATCTAATTAACCAATACCATATTTCCTCTGCCGGGTGGGGCTGTCCTTTCTGAGCTGCCGCCGCTTTTATGAGGGCGCTCAGAGTCAGACTCACTGAGTTAATTTCAGTCCAGGCTCAGGCTCAGTGACCCGCTTGGATTGATCACGTGACTGATCAGCAAGCACTCAGTGTGATCAGGAATGATGACATAACACAAAAACAACAGAGAGACAAATCATTGATCGGGTACTAAACCTCATTCGGGTTAGCCAATCCTTGGACTCCAACATTGATTTTGATACCAGGAAAATAGGGCATCAAGCTTTCCAAATTTGGCTTAGTGGATGTCTCTTACCTCTCTATGAGGTCTACGCTTTGCATTTCAATTTTCCCATCAATAACTCTCGTCTTCTTCACTCCCATCCAAACGCCAGCTTTATTAGGCTTTCATTCGCCAATATGTCTTCATCCATCGTTGCAAAAATCATCAAGCCAGCATGAACAATCCCGAAACTGCCGAGTTCCTGTGCGGCCTCGAAGGCACGGACGTCACTCTCGATCCACCATCCGAGCCGCCTCTCCACCTGCCCCGCCAAACCTGGGTGATCGATAAGAAGCTCTCTGAACGATCTCAATCGATGACGCAGCAGGACGTTGCCGATGGCCTTGGACTTCCGTTCGCAGCTGCTAAGTTTCTCTGCCACCGCAAGGAAAATCCTAGCAAGAAGGCTTTTATGCGGATTTATCTTCAAATTCCTGTCATTGGCACTCAATATCAGAGCCCTCAGATTCGACGAAAGCAGGCTGCTAAGCCACAGCCGCACGTTGAGTTGACGACCTTGAAAGTGCTCAAGGAATTAGAATGCGATGTTGTCCCTGACCTCCTTGCTTACCAAGAGGGAAAGCAAGGCGAAGATAGTATCGTTCCTGGAGGTTATATCACTTATGTGGTCTGGGATAAAGTCCCCGGGGAGCCTCTAAGCGCAGAAGAATTCTGGGAGCTAGATCTTGAGTCACGCCAAGCGATCCGCGATAAATTTCGTGAAGCCTTTCCGTAAGTTTACAGAACTCTCTGGCTGGCGTGCTCTCAATTAACATGAAAATCAGAAAGCTGAAGAAGTATGGTTACCTACCGCGTATGTCAACCATATCGAAGATTATCTATGACAAGGCCACCGGGAATATGTACGTTCTATCCGTTGTTAAGTAGCGAACACTAAGCTGACAACAATTAGGCATTTCTCAGGTTTTTCACCCGCAGGCTGTACTGATACAAACAAAAAGTGGCATGATAAGTACTACGTTCTGTTTCGTTTGGCCAAGCCACCTCCGAAGACGACGGGCTGGGCCAAGGATACCACAGGGTGGACTTGGTGAACAGGGAGTCACACTCAAATGGACCCCTACTCAGGTCGCTCACCCATCACTCAGGTTGCGGTCAGTGAGCAAATCAGACAGTGAGTGGATCAGACTGCTCGGCTGAGGATTAGGGAGCTTATGTAACGCTCACTGATCAGGGCGTGCTCAATTCTACTCAGTGATCAAAAAGCGGCGAGGGGTGAGCACTAAAACGGAAAGGGAAGGCCAAGAAATGGCATAGGAATTCAGGTACGTAGGTTATAATTTATAAAGAGGTACATATATCAACAACATGACGTCGATGTTGCTGTCTGCTGCGGAGTCCATGTCCGTACCTGTCGGGCTCAGCCATGGTACACGCTCCAGGACATTTAGACGTTTCCTTGGAACATACCTATCATGGAGATGTGTTGAGCATCGTCTATATCTCCAATCATCGAGGAAACACAGCTCTCATTAGTTCCGAGGCAAGTCCAAAGAGGTAGGAAAAGCGCCATAGTTCAAGATACGAGATGGCTGGTATGATAGGACGATTTGAGAGCTTGATTCCAAATACCCCCTTATGGATGGCTGTAAGATGTACGCTTGCCTGTTTCCTTACAACGAAGATATGTCAATCCAGTGCAGGCTAAATGTCCGCAAGATGCTGAATGCCTGTTGGACATTATTCCGGCAACTGAGCATTGACCCATCTCATACACGCTCGTATTCAATTTAGAGTCCTCAAGCGTGATTCACTCCTCGTATTATGGCCATTTAAATCCGGTTCTTAACGCCTCATCGCGGCGAGGTCGGAGTTAGGGCGACGAATCGACTGTCTTGTGCGTAGACAGAGATGTCGACCGTAAATAAGCCTTTCGATAAGCCGGCAGGATATGCTCTGGGATATATTGAATACAAGCACGCATATTGCATTGTAAGTCAAAAGGAGATATCATCATTACCTCCGAACACGAGTACTTGATGTTACTTGACGCCTTTGGAAACGAGCAATCGCTTCGACCCAGAAATCAGCCAAAGTCCGATAACCCCATCTGGGCAGCTTATAAAAAGCATTCGTACGACAGAGGTGCACCTGAAATCCAATTCTAAAGATATTCACTCATAGCATTCCAGCACTCTTTCAAGATGGCGACTCACCAAGCAATCATCCTCCCCGAAATCAACTCACCACTCTCGCTCACCACAGTCCCAACACCCACTCCTCAATCCGGCCAAGTCCTCATCAAAGTCCTCGCCAGCCCTATCCTCGCATACTACCGCGCAATTCTCACCGGCAAGCTCCCCTACCCACTTCCCCTCCCCTTCACCCCCGGCGTATCTCCAATCGGCCGCGTCGAAGCCATCGGCTCCGACACAACGGCACTCAAACCCGGGCAACTAGTCTACGTGGACCTTACCGTGCGCGCGCGCGATGATCCTCTCAGAGAGCAAGGCACCGTCATCCTGCAGGGTCTCTTCGGAGGCATAACGCCCGAAGCGCGCATCCTCTCCGAAAACGACTGGCGCCACGGCTCGTGGGCGGAGAAACAGATCGTCCCGCTGGAAAATGTGCATGTTCTCGATGAACCGCTTCTGCTCGACCTGATGGGCTATTCCCCGGCAAGGCTGACCTGGATCAACACCCTGCTTGTTCCGTATGGTGGCTTGCTCTCCGGTGCACTGCAGCCGGGTGAGACGGTGATTGTGTGTTTTGCGACGGGACATTTCGGCGGTGCTGCGATTGATGTTGCGATGGCCATGGGTGCAGGGAGGGTTGTTGCTGTGGGACGACGGATGAGTTCTCTTGAAAAGATCCAGGCTGTCTATCCAAAGGGAAAGGTAGTCGGCGTTGCGACGGAGGGTCTCGACGAGACTGCTTTGAGAGATGCGCTGAGGAAAGCGACTCCACGCGGGCTAGGTGCGGATCTGTTCCTCGATTTTACTCCAGCAGCCCCAGAGGGCCAGAAATGGATACACATCTCGTCTGCGATATCGGCATTGAAGGCCAACGGTCGCGCGGTGCTTATGGGCGGAGCTTCAGATTTGGTTAACCTGTCTTATTCTGAACTCACGACGCGTAATATCACGGTGAAGGGGAACTTTATGTTCGACGGAACTGCTCCTGCGAAGTTGATCCGGCTCATCGAGATGGGAAACCTGTCGTTGTCTAGATTCAACGACATTGAATTTGATTTCCAGGACTACGAAAGGGCGATTGACGAGGCTGCGACGAAGACTGCTGGTGACTGCGGAGTGGTTCTCGTCCACAGAGAACAGTCTGGAGCGGTGCAGTGAGGGAGGGAGGAAGGTGCTTTGTCCCTCGTTCAGAAGTCCAAGATATATGCTTGTGGCCTCTTCAACTGCTTCATGTGGTTCTAAAATGTGGAATACTTGAATCAATCACCTCTTTGTACTTCGTTCGTTCACAGAATAACCCAACGGATATCCTCTTTAGTTTTATTGTAATCAAAGCGTGGCTGAGCTTATTCTTCATGCATATCCACAATCATTCTAGCATCCAGATAAACACCGTCGGCCTGACAGAGCTGTGAACGGCCAGAAACGATGTCCCGGCCATAGGTGACCTTGGAAACCAGAAACATCGTCCCCAACTTCAAGATCAATACTACTCCAGTCTCGCAGCTTGTATTTTTGCTTCGAGGTCATCCTGTTTGTTGCGTGGCATTCTTCGCCATCGTGAAGGCCATATCCACCGACCTGTCATGGAAAGTTGTCTCGTTAGATTTCCCCCGTGGATGCACCAGTATGATCGTCGGGTTTTACGTTGTCTCCGAACAAGCTTGACAGCAAAGAAGTATTCCTTCAACGTCTTCGGCCGGTATTCTGGGAACATGCGGTCGAGTCTGCGGTCGAGTCTATGTTCAACGGACGTGTCAGTTCTGCGCCAGAGGGGAAGAGGATGAGAAGGAGCATACTCTCGTCGGATCACCTGCGCAGCCCAAAAAGTGAAAAGGATGACAGCTAGCACGAAGGTGGATAATAGCGCCCAGTGAGACATGATGTCTGAGAATACTCGAATGGGACGTGCAGCCGTTCGGTTGAGATAACGATTTGACAGGCGCTCAACACAACACAACACGAAGCTTCAGTCTTTATAAGTAATTGATCGATTTTATCTTCAAACTCGAAGCTCACTGTACTCAAATGAGGCAGGTTGACGGGTGCACTGAGCTTGGGAAGGAACAAGTCCGATAAAAATTGAGCAATACGAAGATGGTAGGAGGAAGGATGGAGAAGTCCATGAACACTGATCATCCCAAATTAGTAGTCAGTGAGGCTTTAGTGGCTATGAGACATGGTCAGTGAATATCTACCTCCTGCAATCTGATAAAAGGCCCTGTATTCACTAAAGTCTAGTTGATTACCCTACACTGGGATAATGATCAGGGAGATATCTTCACTTTATTGATCTTCATGCTGCTCTTACTTTATTCTGAACAAATTGGACCTTTTGACTCGGATAACTAACCTAGGACAAAGGGGCGAAGGCTTAGCAGAACTCAACGAATCTTTCACAAATATCCAAAGTTTCTCAATCCTTCTGTCCAAGTTCTTGCCCCCGGAATCCTGACAGACGCCTCAACCAGGCCAGGTGCGGCTAACGCGCTGGGCCAAAGTGAAGATTCCGCGTATCTAGCTCCAGCAGGACCACTAGAAGTTTAGGACTCAACGAGGGACTCTGTCCATAGTTGACATTGTAGTGTTTTAAGCGGGACGTTGGTAAATGGACGGAGATGGCTGAGCCATAGAAAGGGGGTCTCCTGGCTTAATATACACTGCTTATTAGGAAACTGGATTCAGATTCAGCAACTAAATATCTATTAGCTGGGACCTCGTTGGCACCCATAGAGCATAAGATACCGCTTCATTCAGGATCACTGGACTTGGAGGTTGAGAATACTTATCATGCTTGTGGGATCTGGCTGCTATAAGCCAGCTATCGTGACTTGAGAACATAAACTCCGTTATAACTATCAAAACTGCTATTTGTATTTCTTGAGTTCGAGGAATTAGTGGCCAGAGCCATCGTGCGTCTCCTGAGCCTCTCTAGATGCTCATATTGACAGATGGGTTGTCTTCGTTTCCTGCTTGAGAAACCATTCTGAGTCGCTGACAGAGTAAAGAGAACAGTAGAAGGAAACACAACTGCGGCCTACCAGCGCAAATATCGCGCTTGCTGAAAGATGCCATAGATGGAGAAGGCCACCCTAACGTGTCTTCGGGAGATAAAAGTCATTACCTTCCAACCGTGAAGGAACACATTTCCTCTTGTGGCCTTATGTCTACTTCTGCCTGGGCTATCATTCTATGAGCTACACAGGAGCCATAGTTTACACTCTCGGACTGGAGTCACACCCGGAATAAGCAAGCCAGATAGAACCGAAAAGAAACAATTAATGGCCTACACCCTGCTAATTCAACAATATCGCCCTCTCCCTCAGTACCTAACTAAATGTTTGTCAATACCTAACTAAATGTTTGTGGTTGGCACCTGACGGAGAACTTATACCACTGTACTAAAATAACGTCATGACAGTCACTCTTTCAGGGTAATAGTATTTCAGTCACTCCTACACTTTGACAGCACCCATCTCACCATCTCTCCGCTCAACAAGCAGCTGCTCACGGGAGTCGTAATCGGCTCCCTTTGCTGCCAGTCTCAAGGGTTATACACCCAGCAAGGAGGTCAGATGTGTGTACAGCAAGGTGTATGCTTGATATGTTCATCCAGTACCCTTCAACCTCAGAAAGACATATGGGCAAGGGATGACTGGCACATTGAAAGATTCTCTGCCTCAGCGGTACGGCAGAGGGCTGGTAATATTAGAAAACGTTCTCGGCAGCGAAGATGCAAAGTGAGTTAAAGAAGGAGGGATCGGCCCTGCAGGATAATTGACATGTCACATTGGCTCTACACCGACCTGGAGGCCATTTCGGGAACTGCATCAGTTCCTGTGTTCTTGTGTGCCTGATTGGTCCATTATAAAAGTTAGTGGCCTGTGATCGTCTAGAATACAAGAGCAACATGCCACATGAGCATAATTTCTATCGTGTTACCTTGATGCTGCGTTCTTCTCTCAGCTTATGGCCTCCATTACTGCTATAGACGGACACCCGTTGATGGCATTTGACCGGTTGCCTCATTTCACCCAGAAGCGCAGCAAGTGGTCCTAGCCTGACGTTCAAAGGTGCTTCTGACTCCAGAGAAAGCACCAGGGCGTCCCGTCTTTATTCGCCAGGCTACTCCATCTTGGTTGCTTACCTGCTGCATTGGTCTCATGCAATAAAGTCAGCTATTAGCTGAGTAACCCCCTTGCATGGTGTAACTTGAACTTGTGCAGAGTCGAACAAGTAACTCGAGTAGAATTAGTTACACTGTCGAAAAACCAGATTCCTTATGCTGGGTAAATTTCATCGCTCTGGGGTAGTCCTAACAAGAACATCGGTAGGCCAAAGCTGCTCTGGTGTCAAATCAAAAGTCACCCAAGTTACGATATGCCATTGAAGCAAACCTCGGAGAGACCATCCTGCAGAAAACATGCACTCAGGAATCTGACTTAGTCCAAGAACCACTGTCCACGTATTCCTACATGATTGAAATTCCATCCATCCTCCTTGCGTTGACTTTTGGCGGGAGACAAGAAAGCGGACTCGACTGCTTCATAAGACATACAAAGAGAAATTTACACATATTGGAAAGAAATCTTTACTGAAGGTATTACCATACGAAAAGACGCATAGGAAGATTGCATCTATTTCCAAGCTTATAGTAAGGTGGACGGCTTGTCCTTGCTACTGAGTCGGTTCGGTGCGGCCTATTGGATTCTCCTTCCAGATTCTCCCATCCCAGTGCTTGTCAATACCTACAACAATGTTTGAACCAACGAAGCCAGTTGCGCACACCGGCGAGCCGGACAAGCCCAGTGTCGTTGTCACGGACACTGAGGTCGCCATCGAGGACGACGCAACCTCCATCCTGACACGCTATATACCACAGAAAAGCATCCAGAACGCAAGGCCCGCGGCTGTAAACTCATGTATCAACGAGATATTTGAAGCCCGTTTCCGGGAGCGCCCCGACGCCCCCGCCGTCTGCGCCTGGGATGGAAGCTACACGTACCGTGAGCTGGACGACCAATCCTCCGCTCTCGCCCACAAGCTCCGCCACCAGGGCGTGAAGGCAGAGGTATTGGTGGCCCTTCTCTTCGAGAAATCCAAGTTCAGTGTCGTCGCGATGCATGCTGTGGTCAAGGCCGGCGGTGCGTTTTTACTGTGGGACCCTAGCTTACCCGTGGCTCGCTTGCGAGGGATGTTTGCCGAATCGGGAGCGCGATTCGTACTTGCGTCCGCAGCATATGCCCAGATGGCATCTGAAATCAGTGAGGATTTCAGTGTAGTGGACGATGCGCACATTCCTCCCTATAACGCATCTCTGCTGCCACCCGGAACCCAACCGGAAAATGCGCTGTGCTCCGTCTTCACCTCCGGCTCGACGGGCAAACCCAAAGGGTTTCTGATGGATCACCGAGCTTTGTGCACCTGCGCACTTGGCTTCGGGGAGTTACTGGGGTTGGATGGAGCCTCGCGGCTTATTCAGTTCTCTTCGAACACCTTTGATCTTGCGACGTTTGAGCATCTCCTCCCGTTCCTTTTCGGTGCCTGTCTTTGCATCGCATCCGAGGAAGAGAGAAAAGGCGACCTCAATCGCGCCCTGTGCAAGTACCGTATTACCCATGCAATACTTACGCCCACTGTGACTCGTCTCCTTGAGCCTCAACACTTGACAGCCCTGCGGGTGCTAGTGATGGTCGGTGAGGCGGCTGGCAGGGAGGATATCCGGCGTTGGGCCTCTAGTGTCAAGCTTCTCAACGGTTATAGCCCTGCAGAAGCCGGATGCATCACCATCGTCAACCCAGTCTTGCAGGAGAACCATCCAAACAAGATCGGATTCCCCATTGCCGTAGTCCCCTGGGTTGTGGACCCGGATGACCACAACCGACTAGTGCCGGCGGGAGAAGTAGGAGAGCTGGTGATCCAGGGACACACGCTGGCACGAGGATACTTTGGCCGTCCGGACGAGAGTAAATCGGCCTTTATCCAGGCGCCTCCATGGGTGCATCAGTTCGGCTGCGAGTCCTACGGACGTCTGTACAGGACGGGGGACCTTGTCCGATTTGATACCGATGACGGGTCCCTGCTCATTATCGGCCGCAAGGACTCCCAGGTGAAGATTCACGGCCAGCGACTGGAGCTGGGTGAGATTGAACATGCGCTGCAACAATTCTTCCCTCCACCACAGGTAGTTGTTGTCGAGTTGTTGATGGTCGAGAATAGAGAGCCGGCCTTGGTAGGGTTTGTGTGCCAGCCTGGAAACCCCAAGGATATCCCGGCCGGGCAGCAGAGTAAAGAGGATAGACTCTTCCTGGTGCCTGATGACCAATTTTGCGCCGATGCCCAGACAGCTCTGGCATCGACGCGGGATATATTGCCCTCGTACATGGTCCCATCCGATCTGCTACTGATCTCTCATCTACCAATGGTACCGTCCGGAAAGACCGACCGTCGATGGATCCGCATGCGCGCGGTGGATCTGGCGCCCGATGAGAGGAGACAGTACAGCAGTGTGCTAGGGAAATCCCGGGATCGACCAGTTAACCAGCTTGAAGAGTCTCTGCTTGGACTCTGGGCTACCAGCCTCAAGCTCGCTCCTTCGCAGATAGGAGTCATGGATAATTTCTTCCACCTCGGCGGAGGCTCACTGGAGGCCATTCACCTCGCGGCTGAGGCACGAAACATAGGGTTTCCTGAACTATCCTCGGCGACTGTGTTCAAGTGTCCCACCATTCGGAAGATGGCAGGCATGTTGGAGGCGACGGTGGTGTCTGCCCAACAGCCAGACGCCCCAATCTCCTCTTCATTCCAGCTGGAGTCGTCACTGGTTGCTGAACTGCTACGGAAATCTCAACGCGGCCTCGAGGACTTGCAAGATGGGCTCCTACCTGTCACTCCTTTCCAAGAGAAATCTGCGAGACTGAAACCAATGCACCTGTTGATCGACATCCCCGGCATCAATCACTCGCGCCTGGAGGCGGCCTGGGCGCTCGTCCTAGAGACACATATCACTCTCCGATCCATGTACGTGGCGCACGAAGACCGTGTCTACCAGGCTTTTCTCCGCCGACAGGACACGGTGTCTATCCCCATCAAGCGGTGCGAAGAACCAGTACATGAATTCGCGGCAAAGTTCTGCGACCAAGATGTTGATCCAGTTCTGAATGGCCAACCCTGGTGGAGCATGACCAGAATCGACAACAAGACGGACAGTGTTCTCGTCCTCCGAATGACCCATGCACAGATGGATGCTCTGACGCTAGACGTCCTCTTTAAAGACTTCATGGCTGCCTTTGAGGGTCGTGAACTCTCGCAGCGAGATGTGGAATTTCCTGATTACATGCAGTCGCGTCTGAGACACAATGCGTCGCCTGCAACCATCGAATTCTGGTCGAAGTTCTTGCACGGCTCCCATATCACCCGGCCCATGCTCCTAGATCCTTCCTCGGATGTCCATCCAGAAAACGAGGCCATGGTCTTCGTGTCTAAACAGGTTCCGATGGTGACGCCTCCTCTCGGGATCACCGTGGCGTCTGTATTCCGGGCTGCCTGGGCCTTCGTGCTCTCCCGCTATGCCGAGCAGGAAGACATTGTCTTTGGCGAGTTTGTCGAAGGTCGCAGCTTACTGTTGAACGGTGTGGAGAAGATCACTGGCTGCATGGCCGCAGAGACTCCCATGCGCATCTCCATCACGCCTCGAGCATCGGTCCGCGACCTCCTCCGTCATTCCCAGGAGCAATACGTCGCGCGGATTCCATACGAGACCTGCGAGCTGGAGGACATCATCCCACACACCTCCTGGCCCAGCGGCACAGAGTTTAGCCATATCCTGGTCATCGAGAAAACGCAATTGGTTCCTCCTCTTGTTCTAGATGGGCGCCCGTGCCAGCACAAGTGGGCCTTCCACGGGCGACTGGAGGACGTCCACGTCCAATTGATTCCGGGTGCGGATACTTTGCACGTTGGAATGTCTGGTCCGGAGATCCGGCTGTCCAAGAGAATAGCCACCGAACTGGTTGAGAAGCTGGCGGCGACAATAAGGCAGTTCAATGACCGGCCTGAAGCCTTGTTAGATGAGATTCAATGTGAGACGGGGACCGAAATTGTTTTGTAGTAATGGGAGTAGTGTTGTGTTTGTCATCTTGTCAGCCTAGTAGGGATATCTATCCAAACAGACGCCTCTTGCAAACCGTCAAAGCATTAGGGGTCATCAGCACCTGTGGAAGGAAACAAGCAGGCAATACTACAAGGTACCTCAGGCAGTAGGCACTACCCAGTACCCAAAGGCCTAGTAATTTAACTAGAATCGTGCATTTCTGTATACAACAAGGAATACTACCTTCTAATACTAGATTAGTATAACAAAGTTAGTAAGATATGGTGTGGTTATGGACAGGGCTATACTGTTGAGGTGGAGATATATAAGAACAGCATGGCGGTGTTATAAAAATCATACTGATAGAACTCTTTCCAATCTACAAATGTGCGTCCATGCATGCTTCTTGAGAATAGTTAATTTAGTATTTCAGTAATACTGCTATTTCATGAGGAAGGGTTGTGTTGAACACCTTTTAGTTGGGTAGTTTTATGGCAGACAGGTTGGATCAGTGGGCTGACCCTACACTAAATACTGTAATCATCCTTTCTTTCTTACGAGCTGATGTCTTCCATTGCAAGAGCCTGTGAAGCAGAGTCGGTAAGGGATTCTGGCCGAGGACAATCCAGATCGTCGTACGGGGGTTTTGTCAGCACAGAGCCAAAAGACAGCCATAAGAGGCAACTGTGAATTCGAATTTCGGATTGGGTGGAAACATGTGGGTGAATAAGCCTTGTTTAATCCATTAAGAACTCCATGTAGGGCAATTCTCTAAAACTGGGTTCTGCTAGCATACTTGATAGCTTTGGGAAGAGAGACCTCCATGGCATACTACGAAGGGAAGGCAACGAAAGTCAAGAAAGAACCACGATCCTCAGCTCATCAATGGGATTGGATCCATCAGTTGGGGACGTAAGTATCCTCAATCCGATAGGCTCCATCCGAAGGAATATTCTTAGGAATGTACTCGCCTTCACCACGGACAGCCCGTACCACCGTGTCGAAGACCCGATAGGTATACTCCCGGCAGTCATGGCCAAGGATCCATTCAGGATTAGGAAACGCAAAAATGCTCGGGTCCTTTGCGACGGCTTCCCAGTCCGGCCAGAACAAGGCTTCCTGTAACGTAGAACTGCCCAGCTGGATCACCGTGGCGCGCGGATACCTGTGAGTATTCACCTCAATTAGCACGTTTTTCTCCGAGTCAGGTTGGTCAGATATACCGGATCTTCTCCGCCACGCGCAATGCTACAGGAACGTTCTCCTTTCCCGCCAATTCTAGGGCAGTGGCGACGACCACCCCGTCCTCGATTGCCTGACTTCCCCCCTGACCGACGACGGGAAGGTATGGATGAGCGGCATCACCGATGAGCATCAAGCGACCCCCGGAGGACACCCAGCTTTCCAGTGGCGGGCGATAGATGAGCGGGTGGTCCACAAGCTTCTCGGGTAAAGTATGGCGAATGACCGAGGAGGGTCGAAGGTGGCCAGGCCAAGGGCGAAGAGTTGCCAGCGCGTCGCCAATGCTCGCTCGGCCTCCCGCCCAACTTTCGTGAGCATTGAAGTGATCCTGGGATGATACGGACAACTGTCAGTGATCCTAATCCAACCATCGGAAAGAACAGCACGAAGATCTGGTATCCTCTGGAGACAGCAGTACCTTGTGTATGAGGACCCAGGCAAGCTCCTTTCCCCTCTTCAACGTTGTGATTGCCAAGTTGATCCCATCGCCGAACCACACATACACCTGATCTTTCTCCTGCGTGCCCTGAAGCACCCAGCTCGCCTCGGGGTCTTTCGCGATCTGCTCCGTGGTTAGATGAGCACGGAATGCGGCCCACCCGGAGTGCTGCTCGGTGTCCTTCTGCCCAGTCAGCCAAACCCTGGCCGCACTGTGGACGCCGTCAGCGCAGATGACACAGTCGGCGGACAGGGTTTCACAGTCATTCACAATGACTCCTGCCTGGCCGCCATCTTCCCAGTACTTGGTGACTCGGGATCCCAGTCGAATGTCAATCCCCAGCTTCCTCGCATGCTCGTATAGAATGCTGATCAACCTCCCCCGGTTGACCATCCACGCTTTCCCTCTCCCTGCCAGTTCATGTCGCACAATGAATCGATCGTGATGATCGAGCATATCAGCGTGCGTCGCATTCGACAAGTGTGGCGCAATTTCCTCAAATAGCAGCTCGCCCCAGCCATTGATCACGCGGACCGCATTGGGCCCGATGACAATTCCATCACCCGCTGTATCCAACAATTTCATGAGTGAGTCGTACGTACGCAAGACAGCGAGAGTGAAGGGCGCACCTTACCATCTTGCTTCAGCTTCGTCACCTTCTCCAAGAGGATTACCGAATGTCCTCTTCGATGGCTTTCGATTGCGGTGGCTAGGCCTCCAAAGCCAAGTCCGACGACGATTATTTTGATGCCCGTCGGGGCCGGCAGAATCGGTGGAGCGGCGTCAATTGTCATCGGAGGGGAATAGAATGTAACTGGGTCTATCTCGTGGAGAAGGATGTTTCTCGAGAAGAGTTCAGTTCAGCCCTCCTCTGACCATGTTAAGGGACGAGAAACCTGCAGCAAATGCTGTTGTCACCATTTCCATTATGAATGTCTACCTGTTCATGAGTAAATTGGATGCAAGGGGGCGCCATCCAGGAATGTCTGGGCGCAATCTTGGGCACACTCGAAGGTGCATGTCCGATTGACTATGTCCCCATTCGTTGAAACTGGCAAATTGATGTATCCACTTGAAGAGAGCGCTGACACGCTATCTGACAATGAATTCCATTATTATTCGAGTTCCATTCCTGTGATCTACTGGCATACCGGCCTTTCATGAATGCAAGGGATAAGAGATATTGCTTTGTGGCTTGGCTGGGCAGCCCGATTTTGCATTCTTTCCCAAAGGAGTGCCTTATATTAGAGGGTAGTCTCCTTACTCCAGGCGTCTTCATCTTTTGAACTTCCTGCAGCTTAGGCCTTCTGTCAGCATGCAGTACAACCCATTGTTTGCCCTGGCATTGGTCCCTTTTGTGATATCAAATTTTCTTACAGAAGCGACGAGCAACATCGGGAGCGATGACAATAATCTCATCGCCATCTTTCGTCCTGTCTTGACGCCAGGTGCGCAGATCTTTCTCCTGTCCGACAGTGACTACGACAACAATGTGATGCCTCGATGGTCAACGTTCAAGGACCCGTCCTACGTCGCCACTATTAAACCGGCGACCGAGGAAGATGTACAAGCAATTGTAAGCACCGTTCACCGGAGAAACTAGACAGAGATCACTTATGCTGAGAGACAATATCAGGTTTCAACCGCTACGTCTCACAATATCACCTTTTTCGCAACGGGTGGCGGACATGGCGTAAAGTTGGACTTCGATAATGTACAAAATGCCGTAAATATCGAACTGAGCAATCTCAAGTCTGTCGACTTGGATCTTGAGAACGATTTGGTCACCATCGGACCCGGAGTGGAAAATTCTCTGCTTTACGACCTTCTGTCCTCCGTCGGAAAAGAGACAGGTAGACGCAATCCCTTGGCCCTCTTGCCAGCATGTATAAGCATGTACAGCTCACTAACATGGATGGTTAGCACTGACGACCGAGCGCTGCATTAACACAATTGGCCCAACGCTCGGGGGAGGGTTGGGCGCTCTGTATGGACTTCGTGGTCCGCTGGTAGACTCGCTCGTGTCCGCTCGCCTGGTAACAGCTTCCGGAGACGTGGTGACTGTCTCCAGTAGCGAGAATCGCGACCTTTTCTGGGCGATCCGTGGTGCTGGTGCAAACTTTGGTATCGTCACATCTGCCACCTACAAGATATACGACCAGACCAATGGTGGAATGGGTGTGTCCGCCGAGTTCGCCTTCTCGCCGGCCGCTAATCGCTCGTTATTTGACCTGATGGAATCCATGAATGACAAGTATCCCCCAGAGCTGGCCGGGGGCATTGCAGTCAGCTATAATCATACCACCAGCGAGGTAACGATCCTTTCAGGCGTCTCTTCGGCTTGTTTTGTTCTCAACGTGTGGCTGATATGCAGATAGCCCACTATCGAATGGAATTTCCAGTTCACGGGGTCCAACGAAGCTGCTCAGCCGTGGCTTGACAAGTTACAGGCCCTGGGCCCGATCAAGACGAATATCCGGAACGTCCCATGGCATCGCCGGGATGAACCTGATTCGCCGTACTGCGCGAGAGGGGACCACCGTATGATCTACAACCTGAACCTCAAAAGAACAGACGCAACCACCCTGCAGTTCTACTTTGAAAGCGTCGCCGACTTTTCCGCCGAAAATCCCTGGTTTGAATGTGTCTTGATGTTCGAGCGGCAGGCTACCGACGCCGCGCTGGCAGTGCCGATACGCGAGAGGGGAGTAGGGCCATGGCGCGACAGCAAAATCAATGCGTAAGTCTATATATTGCATATCTCATTTAGGTCCACCAGTTCATCAGGGAAGCAATGGCTTCTTCTCTGCGTGGAGCATCGTTGGCTTGTTCCTTCAACTAAAGTCTTCTATCACCACAGGAACTTTGTCGTGAAGATTCCCTCCCAGGAGTATGATGAGGCTGTTGATGCCTTCCTACGGCCGACCAGAGAGCAGTTCCAGGCAACCATGGGCTTCGACACTCTACGTGTGTACGTCAACGAGGCTTTGGGTGACGAAGGTCCTGCTGCATGGTATGGGCAGCACAACCTCCCGAGACTTGTTGCGCTGAAACAACGATGGGATCCCAACAATCAGTTTGGAGCCGGGGCTCCCATTCCGCTGAGTCTCTAGCACGGAGTATGAATCGTATATATATATCCACCAAGAATTTGTCATAGATTAACGGGACAGTTGGCGCTATAATCCCTGGCAGATTAGTGACAGCAACGCCCTTTCTACGCCAGCTTCCCAGGCCCTACATAGCTACTCATTCAACAAGGAAACTTTCCGACTTGGAGCACACCATTCTACGCTTTTATCTCGTTTTTCCTGAGGTAGAATACTCTTTCCTTCTCAAACCCTCTCATGTGGCTGCAAGTCTTACTAGTTTACCAATAAACCAATAATTATTAGCATCATGCATTCTGAGAACAGGACATGCTGAGCAACTGTGATGAACATATAATTCTATGCATCAAGATATGCACCTCCCTTCACTATTTCATACTTACCATGCGCAGGGAATCCTTGCTTACAAGGATGTCTTAATGTGTAATGGGCCAGGCCACAGCTACTCCAGCAGTCCGGCATGAGATCGGCAACTAGTAGATAGATAATTGCTTTAGCTCTCAGTCTGTCTGCTCTGGAAGGCAAGGGTAAAGGAATAATAGTCACATTCCTTCCTAAGCAATTAATTTCACCTTTCACTAATGCATGGTTACTTCACTGAATAACCCAATTAAAGGGGAAAGAATGTCACTTTATTTCATGCATAACTGAGACAGTAGTTTCTTGTTAGGCCTTCACTCAGCTCATTAGGTAGCAGTGCATAGGAGCCTTTTATTAAATGTTCATAGGAATTTATATGTTGCCTTGCTGCTTTATTTACTGATTTATGAAAATTCCATACTTAATAGTGAAGAATTAGTTCCTCTTTCTAAATATCCATCTTCATGTAATAAAGGTATATCATATGCCACCTGTAGCTGATATTACATCTTAGCCCTAACTATATACGTGGTTAGTAGGATAGGCTCTTAATTAAATGAAGCGCTACTTATATACATAATGTTGTATATTTAATGATTACTACATTTAGGATTAACAGATTGCTCAGGACCCTAGCGCCACAGGAGCTCACCACTAGATGTTTACATACCATCAGAAACTTGTGGCCTATACAATACAAGGAATAAGGTGGTAGAGCCAGGTGTAAGTCCCCCCCTAACCAATGGTAGAGAGTTCTCCAGAAGGCATTGCTAGTAAACAAGGCGAATCAGTGTAGTTACTGTAGTTCCAGGCATTCACAAACATGGTCTAAAATGCTTCCAGAGAATGATCAAAATTGGTGATTAATATCTAGTCGCTATAAAGGTACTATTGGCTATCCGCATTCAAATCGGACAAGATCATAATCCATGACTCAATTCAAGACCTTCCCCTAGGCTGATATCATATCATCGAATAATTCAGTCAGCTGGCACTCTGGCGAAGCCGAGAAGCGCTCAATCAAGTCGCAGAGCCGTGCACACAAAGCTTTTGCCCGGACCTCGGATAAGACCCGGGTGTTTGCGCATACTTGGATCTCCAGTCTGTCCGGGTGAGGTTCGGAAAAGACCCAAACTTCCTGTAAGGGTTCGAACTGCGCGAACTTGGAGTAGCGCACCTGGAGACCGTCCAAGGGGATGTTGTGGCTCAGCTCGATATTCTGATGTTGGACAATGAAGCTGAGCTGGGTATCCGCGGGCCAGGAGGTGGAATTCTTGAAGATATCTTGGAGCTCAAGGTGTTCGTGCGGCAGCGCTCGGGTGTACTGCTCCTGCACGTGGGAGAGCAGATCCAGGACGGTCCACGAGGGCTGCAGGGTTATCCGCAACGGTATGAAGTTGAGGCAGCATCCCAGTAGCGCTTCGATATTGTCGAGAGCCAGGTTCCGGCCGTTCACGGTGTGCCCAAAGACAACGTCGTTTTGGGATAGGAGCTGACATAGGTGGAATGCGCACGCAGCCTTGACGAGGGAGGCCATTGTGATGCCCGCGGGTAGACTGGGGGTCTTCATGCTCTGGAAGGTCCACTGAGTCTTGTGGTCTGCGTCCTCGCAGCGCGTTGGGCGGAATTGAACGGGCATGGATGAACCTTGGAGGTATTCTCTCCAGAATTGAAACGAGGGACTCTGGTCTTGCGAGGTACGATAGTAAATGTAGTCAGCAAAGCCGGTGGTCGGTGGCAGCGGGGTCTGGTTGTATATGGCGGCAATATCACCGAAAAGACGTGGAATAGATACGCCATCCCATTGTGCATGGGAGATTTGGATCGTAAAAACATGCTCCTCCTTTGAGCGGGATACGAGAGTGAACTTGACAGGTAGTCTCCCCATTACATCTAACGCTGCCAGATCTGTCTGCCAGAGCGACTTGCAGAACTCTAGGGGATCTCGATCGGTAGTATAATTGCTGAAGGGGGCTTCAAAATCCTCCAGAACCATCTGTATCAAGCGGCCCTGATGTTGTTGGAACTTTGTGCGGAGAATACTGTGTCGAGACATGATCGTTTCACAAGTCTCCCGAAGCCGGTCTCGATTAAGAGGACCGCTGATAGAGAAGTTGTAGGAGTGGAAGGTACCTCGGTCAATGAAAAACTTCTGGGCTTGAGTACCCGGTAGTAAATCAACCAGTGCGGATCTGGGAGGGATGAGACCCTGCTTGGTCAACGCCATGTGCAAGTCCTTGGGCCTGTCTACTGGGCTCAAGGAGAATGGCTGATGGGAGGTCGAGGAGTCATCGAGAGCCTTGGGGACAGCCACCTTGGCCAGATCTGACAATACAGGATGAGCAAAGATATCCGCGACACTCAACGCCATACCGGCAGCGCGACAGAAGGCGGCGGCTTTCATAGCATCGATGGAGTCACCACCGCTGAGAAGAAAATTATCGTCGGCGCCGATACTGTCCACTGGAACCTTGAGGACGTTAGCCCAGATTTCGGCCAGCTTACGCTCTTCCTCGGTCGATGGAGCTCGCGTAGAACCGTGACCAGCATCAATCGGCGCTTTATATGCCTGTAGTTCTATTAAAGACATAGAAGCGACGACATCCCGGAGGCGGTTCCTGTCAACCTTGTCTGAATGAGTTCGAGGAATTCGGGTCAGCGGTAAGGAAATGGACGGCACCATGAAATTCGGCACCGTCTGGCGAAGCCTGCTCTCTGCCGCAGTTGCGCTCTTCACGAATTCCACTGATGGTTCTGCGATGAGCTTGCTGCCGTTTTCTGCAGCACTGCACGCCGCTGTCTCTGCATTTTGCAGAATCATGGCGACCAAGTGCGATTTGCTTGCCCCAGCAGGAAGTATCACCTCTGCCACCACATCCAGGGCCCCAAGGAAACAATGCTGTACGTTGGCCTCGACCTCCCCGAGCTCTAAGCGTTGGCCACGCACTTTGACCTGTCGATCCTTGCGCCCAAGTATGTTGAGAGACCCATCGGCCGTTGCCCGCACCAGGTCGCCCGTCTTGTATAGACGGGAATTCGAGTGTCCGCGAAGGGTACGTAGCCAAGCTGGAGGATCGATGAACACTTCCGCTGTCTTTTGGGCGTTGTTGATGTAGCCTCGTCCCACGATGGGGCCTTCAATCACCAATTCCCCAACAGCACCGTTCGGGACTAACTTGTTGTGGTCTTGCGGGTCTACCACCCAAGCAACAGATCCCACAGGATACCCAATATTCTGCGGGTCGCTATCCTGAAGGACGGAGGACTGGACGAGCGATAATGCGGAACACTCGGCTGGGCCGTACCCATTCATGAGACACACATGTTGTGCCCAGTAGGACACATCCGTTTCCTGCATGCATTCTCCAGCTAGGGATAAGCTTGTGATGGTGTTCAAGTCCTCGTGTCGGAATAAGCGAGCCACGGAAGGAATGAGCATGGCGTGGTTCGCTTGGAGGGCAGAGGTGGCTTCGCCCAGATTGTTCTTCCGTTGAGACTCCGAAATCACACAGATGCAACCACCAGCGATGAGCACACTGAGCTGTTCAACGATGCTAATATCAAAAGCGTATGACGAGAACTGTAGGACTCGGGACTGGGGAGTAAGATTGTACGCTCGAATATGATCTAGGGCACCGGAGCAGTACGACCGATGCTCGATGACAACCCCTTTGGGCTTTCCGGTGGAGCCAGATGTAAACACGACATACAGGGCATCGCCTGGCCGAACCTTGGGCATGGTAATAGTATGCGGTGTATATTTAAGCGGCCAGTGGTGACGATCCTCACCCACGACCACCACCTTGGAGGCGAGTTCCATGCTCATCGCTTCGTGCGTTGTGGAAGACACTACCAATCTGCAATCGACATCGGCACAGATTTCCTTGAGGTGCTGAAGCGGGTACGAGGTGTCTAGAAGAAGAAAAGCACCACCGGCTTTCATCACACCCATCATGGCAATCGGGGTCCACCGGGTCTTTTCGAAGCAAAGAGGAACCACGACATTAGGGCCAACGCCTTGGGCGGCTAGATGGGCCGCAAGCCGCGAGGACAACCCGTCCAACTCCCCATACGTAAACCCTCCGTCCCAAGCATTGACAGCAGGGGCGTGTGGGCGCTGGACACAGTGCTTCTGGATGAGCTCATGTACGCACGATTCCACTGGATCGGGGACCAGTTTATTCCGGGTCCAAATGATCGCCTTGTCATGGTCACTGAACACATCGATGGAAGGCATTCGAGCTTCAGCGTTCTCTAATACGGAGCACATCGCCTTTTCAAATGTAGCAAGGACCGTTGAGGCCTGGTCTGTAGTAAGAGTGGACGATTTATACCTCAGATGGAGCACCATTTCGCCGTCTCTTGGAGTGAGAGTAATTACCATATCATCCTGGGCAAGTTAGAGTCAGGATATCAAGTCATGGGTGGCAAACCTACCTCTGTCCCGTCCTCCATGGCGACCGTGGTGAATTCTAGGCTCCTCTTGGCCTCTTCTTGTGACACCACATCCGTTTGAACGGCAACCGATGTGTTGAAGAGTACGCCGCTTGTGACTCCGGCCAGGCGATGAATATCAGACAGAGGGAACGACTGATGGGGTAGGCTCTGCAGGTATTCATCCTGAAGCTTGCCAACGGCCTCCTTGACTGTCCACCTCTCGCTCAGATGCACACGGCATGGAAGAGGATTGAAGACAGGGCCAGCAGTACCGGCAATCCCGTCAATCGGAAGATCGCGACCTGATTTCACATAGCCAAAGCACACACTATCGGATCTGGTAAAGCTGCGAAGCACCATTGCCCAAGCGAGCCCTGCCACATTCCACGTAGTGACACTGTGTGTGCGACAGAACTCGTCCAGTCTTCTTCTGTCCTGGAGCGTCCTGTATAGATTGCCCCATTCGTTGGCATTGGGTGAATTAGTGTGGTTCAGCGTTGGAAATTCACATGGTTCGACACCTTCGAGGTACCCTTGCCAGTACTGTGTCGCACTCTCCGAGTCCTGCCGGTAGATGTAAGAGATATAATCACTGTACAAAGGTGCTTGGCCTAAGGGTAGACGCTCATCGTATGCCAGTGAGAGATCTCGTTGGATGATGGTTAGCGTGGTCCGATCCATGATAACATGGCTCAAGTCAAGACGGCAGAGGATCTCTCCATTGTCCATCTCACAGACTCGCATTGTGTGCTGACACTGCCCCTTCGACCACCTCGTTTGCCCTGGTTTGGATGTCGACTCGACCGTCTCAGGATCCGAGGCCTTGGTGAGCACGACTTCTGGTGAGACATTTTGCAACACAACTTGATCCATGTAGGATTCTGGCCACGGGCTATCCACGAACACAGTGCGCAGGATCGCGTGCCGCTTGACTACTTCGCGCCACGCGGCCTCGAGACGTGAGACATCTGGCCGGGGATCGGTGCGTGGTCGAATCCTCCAGGTCACGCTGGCACTGTAGTTGTGCGCGGCTTTAGCCTGGGCGATCAGCATGCCGCGCTGGCTGGGTGAGCAGGGGTAGATGTCCTCGACGTTCTCAATCGACACGCCGGCGGTAGGGAGGGTCACATCAAGGAGTTCCTGGAGCGTGGGATACGTTAATGGCAGAAGAGGAAAGTCTGACAAGGTATGGCTAGTCTTGACTGCAATCAAAGTATTACATTCTTCGATGAGCGTTTGACGACACGACTCGATCCACTTTTGGATCTCGCTTTGATGCTTCATGAACCGGTTGTACATGAATTGGAACTGCAAGCGGCCTCGCACAACGGAGGCAAACACCTCGAAGATGCCAAACCGCTGTATATTGTCGCCTGCATCCAGTGATCCCTGATACTCGGGCATCTCTGGAATAAAGAACGCGTCCGCTTGCTCAAACTGTTGGTACTCTCCTGCATAGTTAAAGACTAACTCGACAGGATGGGGATGGTGGAACGCTTGCCGGCCCTGGGAATTCAGATAGCGAGACGCAAAGTAGGCCCATCCGTTAGAAGGAACCGCCCGGCGAGCATCTTTGACGCGTCGCACAACTTCCAGGAAACTATGGCTCTGCTGCAGCTCAGCTACAACTGGCCACATGGTCGTAAACCAGCCAACTGTCTGTGACAGGTCAATGGCCGGGTCCCATGGCTCTCTTCCATGACCCTCGCTAAAACTGAGCGGTGCCGTGCGATGCGGGAAAACTTTGAGAAACGAGTAGAGAAGAGCAGCATGCAGAATTTCGACGGGCCTGGTGGTGAAGGCAGCATTCGCGGCCCCCAAAAGCTGCCTGGTGGTGTGCTCGTCGAGGGTGAACGCTTGGTGCTGGCTATCGCGGACAAGATTGGGTTGTCCAACAAGGCCCCAGAAGACTGTCGGATCCTTATGGTAGTCGTCGGGGAGACTCACAGGAAAAGCGCGCTGGGGAGATAGATATTGCTCACTGTACTCCGCCTGCAGTCGGCACCATGTTTGAAAGGCGATCGAATGGTTGGCCATGGGATTTCCTCCCTTGAGCATAGCTTCGAGGTCGGCAAGGATGATACGCCACGAGACTAGATCCACCACTAAATGATGGATTACAACGGAGAGGTACTGCGCCCTGTCCCCCACGTCAATCAGATCGACCGCAGTCAGTGGTCCCTTCTCGATACTGAGTGAATGTGCACTGGATGAGACAATATCCTCCAGCTTCGACCGAGATTCTAGTCGATGAGCACGGTAGCGGCAGGATGCTTCAACCTTGGAAGTGATTGCTTGGCGCCAGCTTCCATCTTGCTGCTTCGCAAACCGAGCGCGGAGCATGGGATGTTTCGACAGGAGGGCACGGAGGGCAAGTTGCAGCTGGCTCGTGGTGACCGGCTGTGATACACGAAGCAGAAAAATCTGGCTGAATCGGTCCAAGCCATTGGACTGCCGGTGAAAGAACATCTGTTGGATCGGGGAGAGGGCAAACCACACATCCTCTTCTTCGCTCATGTGCACGACTGCCCGCGACAATGAATCCTCATGGAGTATAATTTGGGAGATGGTCTTTAGGCGCAGGATCCTATCCATCGTCACGGCGAGACCCTTCGACCGTGCCTGGGCGACTACCTGCATGGCCGTGATGGAGTCGCCTCCTAGTTGATAGAAGCTATCATCCACACCAATCTCGGCTAGAGGCAAATTCAATACCTGTGCCCAGATTACCTGCATCTCTCGCTCCGCTTCTGATGTGGGTTCTCGTTTCGTACCCCTTCCGATGGCGCCGTACGCCGCCAGCTGCTCTCGTGTGCAGGCCGTGGCTATACTGGACAACCGGCGGCGATCAGTCTTGCCAGATGCATTTTGCGGCATAACATGAAGAGGCAGAAAGATCTCCGGAACCATAAATGCGGGAATGGCGTCGGCCAACCGGGCCTGTGCCGCAGCGACTTGCCCAATGAACTCCTGGGTTGGCGCCGCTAAGACGCCGTCAGTGCCATTGCCATGCTCCTTCGTAACGACAAAGGCCACGAGAGTTTGCTTAGCAGGAGCGAAGCTGATCATCTCGACGGCGACTTCGACAGCCTGGGGCCAGCATCGATAGATGTGTTTCTCGACTTCACCTAACTCAATACGCTGGCCCCGTAGCTTGACTTGACTGTCCCGACGGCCGATATAATGGAAGGAGCCGTCCGCGTTGTATCGTACCAAATCACCAGTCTTGTACAGTCGCCCATGGGGCTGCCCAGGCCGAATATCCCTTATCCAGGCGGGTAGCGGGATAAATGCGGCGGCTGTCTTGCCTGGCTCGTTGAGATAGCCGCGAGCGAGGGTGGGCCCTTCGACCAGAAGTTCTCCCACGGCGCCAATCGGCAGCAGAATCTCATGGTTCTCAGGATGCACCACCCAGCAGACACCTGCCAACGGCAATCCAATGTTTTTTGGGTCAGAGGCGGATGTCACTGCCGCCTGGATTGTGGTAGACACCGCGCACTCCGCGGGCCCGTATCCATTCATCACCTTACATTTTCCGTTACCCGCCCAGTCGGCAACGTCAGAAGGTGTCATGGACTCTCCCACGCTCACCAAGATCTTTGTAAACTCAGGATTACTCCTTAAGAGATGGCGTGCCACAGACGGAGTGAGATGGGCATGAGTGAGCTTGAACTGCTTCGCAGCTTCCACCAACTCATTCCGACGTTGAAAGTCTGAGGGCACACAAACACACGCACCTGCCATCAGAGCGCTGAGCGTCTCCATTATACTGCCGTCGAAAGAATAGCCGGCAAATTGCAGCATTCTAGATTCGCTGTTGACATGGGTGGTTTTGTTCAGCGCCAGTGCGCTGGAGCAAAATGATCGATGTTCAATTACCACCCCCTTGGGTGTCCCAGTGGAGCCCGAGGTGAAGGCAACATATAACGCGTTTTCTGGCCTGACAGTAGCCGGTACCGGTCTCACTGGTCTATAAGCCCAGCGGCGGGAGTTTTGTAGACTCAATATAATGGGATGGGATGCAAGCCTGTCAGCCAGATCGCGATTCTCCTCAGATGTCAAGATCACAGCCGGGCTGATCTGGCGGCAGATACTCTGCAATCTTTGTTCCGGTTGAGACGGGTCTAGAAGGGCAAATGCACCGCCAGCCTTGCTGATCCCCAGCATGGCGACGGTGGTCCAGTATGACTTCTCCATTAAGACGGGCACGACGACTTCAGATTTCACCCCTTGGGTGGCCAGGTGTACGGCTAGGCGATCAGACAGCTCGTCCAGTCTTGCGTACGTCAACTTGCCATCCCAAGCCCACACGGCGGTGGCAGTAGGACGATCGGTCCGGCGCTGCTGTATAATTTCATGCACACATTGGTTACAGCCGGGGGGCACGCTGCCGTTCCATTGGCGCAGTAACTGCATATCCCCAGGACTGACCACTGGAATATCCGCTAAACTAGCATCGGAATGTGCCAGAAGGTATTGCAGGGTGTGCTTGAAGTGGCAAACGATTCGCTCCATCATAGAGACCTGGATGACTTTTGGATCGAACTCTGCCCTCACATCCATCTGACTCGATCCCACCAGCTGACAGATCATCGAGAGCGCGTACGCCGCGAAGCCACCCTCTGCGGCTGCACCGGCCTCGCACATTGTCCATAGGCTTCGGTTCTCGTCACCCCAGGCCGGCTGTACGACCAGCTGGCTCTGGAAGTTGCAAGCTTCTTCCGCCTCTTGGCTCAGCTTCCGAATCTGTCGGAGACCCAATTGCTCAAACGGGATCATGTCCATCGACTGGTCCTGGATGGCTTTCAGTGCTTCCAGAACGGTATGGTTTTCTTTCAGCTGCACCCGCAGAGGAACTGTGGCTATAACGGGACCGATCATGCGTTCGATGTTGGGCACCGGGGCGGCACGTCCAGAAATCGTGACACCGAAAACCACATCTACGGAGCATGTATAGTGACTTATCACCAAAGCCCATGCTAGCCTAGTTGCATTAGATAGTGTGTGGCCTCCCGGAACCGCGTCCTGTAATTCGATTGATAGATCAATCATCTCCGTGGGCGTTGGCGTATATTCCGGGGACGGGAGAGAAGGAAACACCTCCGCCTCCACCCCTACAAACTGGGACCTCCAGTACTCATCTGCTCCCTGGAGCTGGTTGATATACTGCAAGAACGGGCTCATGGTGTTCGTGGTCAATTTTTGGCCTGCGTAGGCGGCCTCAACGCGGTCCATCAACAACCCGGCAGACCAACGATCACAGACAGAGTGGTGCATGGTCAGAACGAAAAAGGTGGACAACGACCCATTTGAGCCACGGACGAGAGTTGCGTGCGTCAAGGGCTTTCCAAGCAGTATGCTTCGGTCCTGGCATTCGTGGACGTACTGATCCCAGTGCTGCCCATCACCATCCCACTGAAACTTCTCTTGGATGACAACCTGGTACATCCGACCATCAGAGGCTGACATGATTCTGGTACGGAGGATTGGAGTTGACTCGACAGTGATCTCCCACGCTTTGCGGAAGCGATCAGGATCGACATGTCCCTGCAGACGGTAAACAAAACGAGCAATGTAGCTCCCCGCCTTCGCTGCTGACAGTGTCATCATCCCTTCCTGCAGTGGCGTGCAGGGATAGATATCCTGGATCATGCTGCTTTCAACCTGGCATATCCGAGCTGCAATTGAGAGGAGACCAGGCTCTGAACCGCGATCCAGCAAAGAAAAGGGCTGAATATGTCGTGAGACCCCTGAACTGGCCATCTCTGTCAAACGAGCTAAATCACCGAGTCGTGGCGAGCGAAAAACATCCTTCACCGTGAAACGGAGCCCGACGGCTTTCGCCAGACTCACCATTTTCATTGCACTCACCGAGTCCCCACCAAGCGAGAAGAAATTGTGGTTCATGCCGACCATCTCCGGCGCCAGATGTAAAAGTTCCACTACCAGCTGGTGGATCAGCGCCTCATTCTGCGTATTCGGCTGGAGGACACTGGTTTCAAGCCCTGCTAAGGTCACCAGCTCATCGTGCCGCAGCGCCTCAGCCGCTTCCCGCAGCTTCTGCCGGGCAATCTTGCCTGTGACCGTGAGGGGCATCTCGTTGAGCTGCAGAAATAGCCGCGGGATCATGTAATCCGGAAGCTTCTCTTCCAAGGTCGAAGTCAGCTGTCGGACTGCGGATGCGAAGTGTCCATCCGGTACCGCAAACAACGGTCGGGAACCGTGCCCTCCATTGCTGGAACCATCATGCCGTGAAGGAAGAACGAAGGCAACTAGGATGGCCGCACCGTCTCCGTCTGCGGGAACGATGGCATCAAGCACCACGTTGCGGATCGTGCAGCCAGCTTGCGCAATATGATATTCCGGCTCAGCCAAGTCTATCCGTTGCCCACGGATCTTGACCTGCCGGTCTTTTCGACTAACATATCGCAGCATCCCGCTCGAATCATAGTAGGCAAGGTCACCAGTGGTATAGAACTGCTTGCCGTCGGCTTGTCCGTACTGTGCCCGCCAGCGCGGCGGCGGGATAAAGCTTGCCGCCGTCTTCTCGGCGTTATGCAAGTAGCCCTGAGCGAGACTTGGCCCTTCCACAACCAGTTCCGCAACGGCACCAATGGGGGCAAGCTGGTTCGGGTTACCCGGTTCGGTGAGCCAACATCGAGCATTGGCAGGCGTCCCAATGATGCCGATGTCCCCGATAGACCTGATCTGCGGCGACACGCAGCAGATTCCTGCCCATTCTGTGAACCCATACGCTTGGAACAAGCGCGTACGCTCAGCCCAAAGGGATATTTGGGCTTTTTTTAGTGGCTCTCCAGCGACAATAATGGTCTGTAAATCCGGCACCGCATCCGGCTCCAGAGTGGCGAGTACGGTAGGGGTCATGATGGACCAGTCTACGCCCATGGATCGGATCGCATCGGCTAGATGGCTCACGCGGTCTGAGTCGGACGGAAGACACACAGTACCTCCTGCTGCGAGTGTGCACCAGACTTCAATCAGAGACACCCCGAAACTGAAGGATGCGAACTGCAGCACCCGGTTTGTCGGTCCGAGATGTAGTGCGTGGCAATGGGTCGCGACGCTGGCCAGGGCTGCGTGATCTACCACGCATCCCTTGGGTCCTCCAGTACTTCCAGAAGTGAATAGACAATACGCTGGTTCCTGCGGGTCGGTCTCTGGCAGGAAGCTTTCGTGATGAACGTCCGCCAGCTCCGACACAGTGGTCTCTGAAACAACCAGGATAGTAGTGATAAGACCCTCTGCCAGGCTTTGATTCTGCAGCGATGTAAGCCCCAAGGAGGCATCTAGCTGCCTCGTGATTGATTTGAGTCGATTTGCTGGCTGCGACGGATCCAATGGTACGAAGGCAGCTCCGACCTTGTTGATTGCGAGCATGGCCACAATTGCCCATAAAGATTTGCCAAAGCACACGGGTATCAGATCACCGGGCTTTACACCAGATTTTCGCAGGTGAAACGCCAACCTGAGGGAGAATGTCTCAAGCTGACTGTATGAGAGCGCGCCATCTGGCGCGATGACTGCCGGATGGTGACGTCGCTCCGTGGCTCGCTCACGGATGACTTTGTACATCGTCCGGAAGGTAGGCTGGACTAAAGCAGTGTTATTCCATTTCCCGATCTGGTCCAACTGCGCCCGGCTCGTCAAGGACACCTCATTCAGAGCAATATCTCCCCCCGCCATGGCAAGCTTGACGGCTGCTTCGAAAGAAGACGCCAGATGGGCTGCCTGTCCATCGGTCAGGACGGTTGATTTATATGCAAGAAAGCACTTTCGCCAATTGGAGTCAAAATCGAGTTCTAGGACTAACATCACATTGCAAGCCTTTACCCTGTTTAGTCAGTCTTTCGGTCGACATCATCGGTAGCCACCAGTCGGGGTGCGCACCTCTTCGTTTGTTTTGAGCAGTTGAATGGGAAGACGGGTCTTCCTCAGGCAGTCCTGCGAGTTTCCGCGGCATAGCACAATACCAGTATCAAAGTAAGAGTATCGCGTTGGATCTGCATCCGAAATCGACCAAGTGTCCTCTTGGAACAGCTCGTTCAGCAGTGCGATCCGTCTCCGCGATGCGGCCAGCACTTTCATTCCCTTCTTTAGCCCTGCATCTAGTATATCCTTCTCAGCCGTTGCCGGTATCTCTTTCAATCCCATTTGCACTGTGTCCACCTCGGCAAAGCGCCAGAGAAGGAGGGCCCAAACCGCGGCGACAAAATACCGAGGATGTTCCCCGGCTGCAGGGCACGACTTGATGCCTTTTCCCAGGCTGGGAATCGCCAGCTCTGTGAGTCTCCATTCGTCGACAGGCAGTTTCCCATCGTTCCGTACGGGAAAGAGGCACTTTTCATCACGCAATACGGAACGTCGCTGTATCGCCATTATTTCCTCGTGCGTCGTGGTGTGATTCTTCGCTTCCAAAAGATGTATATGAGCTCGGGACTCGAAGTATGGTCCCACCGGGAGGATCATTGTCATCTCATCTTATAAGTTTACAATCAATCTTACTGATGCAAAAACACCTGCAGTTTCTGCAGCGGGTGAACCTCAAGAATAACATCCCATGTGAGGGCCCCGCGTCAGCATGCATTTCAGAATCGCCGCAAGGTATAGACGAAGAGAAAGACGGCCAGACTTCAAAGACACCAAGGCATACATTGCATGAAGGGCGAACAGACTTGCAAGCCAAAGTAATCAATGCTGACTCATGTTTCAGCCAGCCATACACTATTGGAACAATTCCATTACGTGAAATCCTGGAGTGCGGAAATTCAACATGCACCATTAGCCTCACCGCATCTCGCACCCTTGCGTAATAACCTCTTTTGGATAGCCTCATCTCCTTCCAGAGCGGGTAATTAGCATGCCGGTGCTGTTCCAATTACTCCTCCTGCATATGCAGTCTCCCACCTTTTCGCTGTCTTATGATCTACATCATATGTACTGACATAAGATAGCTACTTGCCTTGATAGACGTCAAACGATGTCAAGTATGTCAGCTGCTAGCTCTTCGCCACTATTTCACCCGAGTAACCTCATCAGTCTCATCCCGACAGGCGATCGACATCTTGTAATATGCTCTAATGCATGTTGAGACCTTGTAATATGCTCCGATGCATGTTCTAGCCACCTACTTGGCAATATGTAGACAAAAGTCACATGCAGGAGCCCCTTGCTTGGAGCAGGATACTCAACCAACCAGTAGCATAAACGAGGATCACACAGTCTCCACTCCGCTATAATACTACATGCAAGTCCCAAAAGCGCACCCTTGGAAGGGCCGTAGCGGTAAGGTCAGCAGCCACTCGTTGACACGCCGTACGCTGATGATTTGGCCCAGCAGAATAAGCATAAAACGGTAGGGGGATTGTGCGAGCCCACTAGCGGTGTAACAGGTTGTTTTTTCTTGTTTATTCGGTCTTCGTGTCCTGTAATTTGAGTACTGAATGTAGCTGCATGCAAAGTGTAGGTCCACGCAACTAAGCCTGAGAATGGTTTCTGTATGGTACTTAAAGAATGAGTAAGGGATCACACCCAATCAATCATTTCAGTACTTATACCAAATCAGCTTAGGAAGCTGAGTATCTACTATACATTCAATCCATGTTCCATAGTCGCTGGCCAGGATCCTGTATGTATAAGTAAGGAGAGCCATATGTGGGGAGTTGATTAATGATTGACAGCTATGCATTTCCTCCCTTTGCAGTAAACAAGTTTAAGAGATAATTTTGTAATGAGAGAGAATGTAGTGTGTCAGGAAGCTATTTGGACATGCATATGGTGGTTATTGCACTACATTGCCAAGCCAATAAATGGAATGATGCATTGGGGTTCAATATCAGTAGGAGTAGCTACCTAAGTAAGTATCTAGTGTATTTTCTAATTAGGATTAGCATCTATAACTGAACCCTAAGCCATGCCTGTAAAAAGCACATACAGACATGCTTCATTACCACAGTAGTACCTATGTTGCAGCACGTCAAAAACCCATAAGGAGGCAGCATCTCTTTGACATTAGCTAAAGGTTTACTGGCACCTTTTTCGGAAATGAGACGGGCTGCTCTCGTCCAGAAATCCGGAAGGCAAAGCCAGCCAGTAGTGTTGGCAGGAGCCTGCGTGGGTGTGAGGATGGTGTACATATGGCAATGAAGGCATGGCAAGAAATTCGCATGGCGGCCAGCATTCTCTGTCCATTCACATAGACAAATCCCAGCTTGATTGTCATTACACTTCGACCTTTAAAGAGACGAAGATGGCAAATCTAGGCAACACCATCCCATTGTCATTTCAATAGACCATGGATCAACCAAGAACAAAAAGAAGTTCCTTTGTAGTGGCTCTCTCTTATGGGCGCCAGCATAACATCCGACGTAGGAGACGCAGAATATCTTCTAGTTCATCAGCTTGGAGTCGTTCTTCCAGAGCATAGAGGCTGCATTCCGGGATGGGGTCTGAGCATTTCCATTTACTTGTTTGCAAGGCTGCACCTCGATGACTTGAGGGAAGAGGCTGTACAAACCATTTTCATCCTAATATTGAAAGCTCCTTTCACTGCGAGCGAGGAGGGTTTCCTCAAATTGCCTGCATCTTGGCAAGATGATACCCAATCATCCGCTTCCATTCAGGGGTTCTGACAGTACCTGCTTCGCGGGCAAACAAGAATAGCTTCTCAAGCCTCAATATAGAATTATTGGTGATCGTGGCTGCAGCTAGGGGGTATTTTATCCTATGATCTGCGGACTAACTTAACACACCTGTGGTGAACCTCTGACTAATATAAATATTAAATGAAATACCACGTTCTATCTGCATTAGTTGTGTTGTCTTCTATCTTGAGAGGGTTAACTAACTCTATGTCTTAGACAGCCCATTATTATGATAACCAAGAAGACCTTATAGGAATTCTAAGGAGGTGTATTTATGATTCTGCTGGCTTAATTCATCAGAAGGCTCTAGTAGTATATCACACCAGAAGCAGGGGTAGCTGATCGTTACTACTAGTTGAGGGAAAGATGATCATATGCACAAGGCAATGCCGCTAGCATAAAGATGAATTCCTGCACCAATAGTACTCGATCCCTGTGCCTTGATCTGTGAGGTGCTGAACAGATGATGACACTCAAACAGGTCTAGATCTTGACTAATGTCAGCGCTGTGATGGGGTAGGGATATAATTTTAATTTCATAGAGGCCGACTTACCACCATCCCAACATTCCAGGCATCAACCTTGTAATCCTAGGTCATGTTCAAAATGACAGAGATCTAGCATAATGTGACCTCGCTGCTGGGTAGTGCCTAGTCGAGCTTCACCCATATCGCGCAGAAAGAGGGTCCCATAAGATATGGGAAGCGATCGCGAGAGATAGACGGTACGATTCGCGAGGGTCTTGCGCTGGACAGGAGCTTCAAATTCTGCTATCTCAAATGTGGACAGTATGGTATCGGCTTTGACATATCATTCGGTTGAAGATCTAGTCAATAGTACCTAGCAATCGGCTAACCCCAGGTCCTGTAGGCTTCTAAATAGAATGGAAGCACGGAGCAGAATAGAAAAGCCAAGGACAGGATTTGCGCCTTGGTTAAGCACCGGTCCATGTTCAATTACTTCTTCACTTTTTCACACACATATGCTCAGGATAATGCTACTAAGGATTTTCATGACGTTCTTCTTCGGGTTGTGGTGAATAGCCTCAACAATACAAGTATACAGGCTAAATTCAAGGAGCTCTTGCGAGTAGGAACCGCCTGCGCATCCAACTCTGGCGAAGAGCTTGTTCGCCAGTGCCTTGGGAGACGTACTTGTCACGGCTATGGTATAAGGTTTGCTAGGGAAGATAGATTCATGGAAATCTCCTGCAAAGATTGTAGGAAAGGGTGTCTGCCATTTTCTACAGACTGGAACAATCCAAAGATCCCGTGATACTTATTGTGAACATTATGATATGGTCTCGTCTGCCTTTACATCTGGTTGAAACAATTTCTAGGAAACTCATATGAATGATAATATCATGCTGAGAGCAACCTTGAGGAGATTCATTGCATCGCTTTCTTTCTTGCTAGAGGGTAACTGAGCGTGGAATACATTCCCTCAATAGATCCTAACCAACTTTAATTGAAGGTATTTAGTGGACCTTGTCGGATCAGAGCAATTGATCTTGAATAGTCTCGAGAGGACGACCTTGGTCTCTCGACTTGACATCTTTGAATGACCAGCGATTGACTACCTCAGTAACTGATTGTGACTCTCATCATTTAAACGACAGCTTCAACTCACTATCACCTCTCCTCATTCTTAACATCTCGCCTCATGATCTTGCGCTAGCACCTGGGCCTGCTATATAAACGTTCTGGTCCTTTCCTTTCCTAAACCATCTTCATTCCTCCAATCATCTACCAGATTTGAGCTCGTAGAGTACTATCTACCAAACACCTCACAAGAGCTTTGTGAACAACACCGCATAACCATCAATCCGCTCACAGAACCTCAAGATGCGTCGCAAGCGTGATGAAAACGAGGAAGCTTTGATTGAAGAGCGTGCACGGAAGAAGATGCTACAGTAAGGACACTGCCATGTGCGCAAAGATACGCATGGACGATCTAACAGACTCACGTATAGGTTTGTAGAGGCCAGACAGTTCTTTGACTTCAAGTTCACAGTCCAGGGTGCACCGTTCTATAAGGAGCAAGTGCTGGAGGACCTCCCTTCCGCCGTCGAAGAATTAGACTGTCCAGTGATCTTCTACGATCTGGTGAACGATTATTACGTCTCTGACTCGGAATTGGGCAAGGCCTTTGTGGCCGCCGTCGCGGATAACGTCCACAACATGGAGGCTTTCAACGAACTCGACAGAATGAAGGAGTTCCTTGTTAAAACGCCTATTTTCGCAGCGGACCTGATCTCTGAGCTGATCGAGAGAAGAATCCGACTCTGCCAGTGTGGCAATTAATGAGCTTGGTTAACTTTCCTGCGCCGGACGTCCACCGTTTTGTTCTGACACATGAACCAAAACGGTAAATTGGAACTGGAGTCTGCCTGTCCTCTCATTCTCGTTTCCAGTATTGGTATTCTAATTGATTTTCGGCAAAAGTACTAGTCAAAGGGCTATCGAGGATATTCATAAAGCTTGACATTATGCAGACCTTGCAAATTCCATATAAACTACATGGCTTCTCCACACTGCTAGAGTCATAACGAACAAGCTAACTAGCACAAACTGCCATCACTGCACGACTGATCACAGTGATAAGTACCAATCCAGTTATCCTCCCCATAGACATCCAACCCCATCATCCACCCATTCAGCACCTGGTGCAAGTAATCCAGATTCTGGGGCACTCCATGCGCCTTACCCTCATCCGAGCAGGGGTAGTCCTGCGTCAAACCTCGGTTCTGGTTCAAACCGCTCCCCTGGGTAAACCACCCGTTGTACGAACCCAGCGCCTGGATCGCGTTCCCTCCGGACGCATCAAGCTGCGACTTGAGATAGTGAGTTCCCGCATCCACGTTATCCTGGATACTATCCGTGCACTGGCCATTCGGGTAGTTGTCGCAGGAGACCTGCATCAGGCCCGGTGTGGGACCACCGGCGTTGGCATTGCAGGAGGACTCCTGCATGGCGATGACGGCGAGGACGACCGGGTTGACGCCGTACTTGGATGCGCTGCTTTGGAAGTAGCCGTCGTACTGGGCGCAGGCGGACCCAATGCCGTTGTAGAAGTCTTGGAGGCTGATGGTGTAGACGTCGTCGATGGAGAGGAAGGGAGGGTTCCAGCCGGAGGAGGTGATGCCTGTGTTGAGCCAGTCCTCGGACCTAGAGTGCTGTTAGCAGGAATGGCTCTAAAGGTAAACGGGGACAACGGATTGTCGTACCCGTTTGGACCAGTGCTTGGGGTGACTTCGTCGGTTGCACCTTGGGCCTTCGGGTTTGTACCGAGGCCTGGGTTGACGGACTGAGCGGTGGCGCCAATAGCGAGGACCAGAGAAGTCAGGGTGATGCTTTTAAGGCCAGCCATTATTGATATTGCTGTTGTTTGTCTGTGCCCTGTGGGGTCGCGGGAGCTGAAAGTCGAATGCTTGCATCAATCGAGTCAGCCGGCAGGGGAGTTGTTTAAATAGCTCAGTTCTTCCATGAGGGTTCTCCGTCTACCGCAGACACGATATCCTTCCAGACATCTTCATCAAATCAGAATATTGATCTGAATCGACCAGTTTCTCAAACGGGTAACTCTGCAATCCTGACGATCATGGAACACCACCAATCAAACCCAGCACCTGTTGTACGGGGCAATAAATGCGCAACACCCGATCTGTCAGAGTCGTCTTAGCGTCGGTTCGGCATGTAACATGTTACCTCAGAGGCACAGTGCCTGTCGATCTTCATCTTGCCAGCTGCCCTCTTAGTAGATGACTGCGAGGATTCGACCTTATCGGCAACAGACACGGTCATATGATAGATCGATAATCTCGTCTGCTTTGAGGTATTTATGAAGCGCCAGCTTCCGGGTGTTGACTGTCGAGTAAGTCTGACGTCTGAAAGTGATTATGTCAGCATCGCTGATCGCATCGTCCCTATACCAGTTTCCCTTTTAGGAAGTGCCTGGGGTTACATCTGAAGTTGGGGGCGGTTTTGCAGCGACTTTTCATTTAGGGGAAGGAATCGGGTCATATCTGCAATAAGCATTCTTCCTCTGTTATCTTCTAAATGGGCTGCCGATTAAATATGGCAACCCCGAGATGCCTTCAAGAGGTCATTAACCAAGATGGTAACGGAGAGTTGTTTCCCTAATAAGCTCAAGACGCTGATATTGTTGGCTATAAGTAGAGGATGATTGCCAAATGTTGCCATCACACATGTCCAGACTATTCGGTAAGTGACTAACCGCGACGTGATATTGATGTCATCACCTTCCTGACAGATGCATTCTAGACACCCGAGCCTCCCTAGAATCAACTCTCCATAACAGTATAGACACCGAATTCGGGTGATTGTGGCTTGAGGTTTGAGAAACTGAAGCTATTTGGAAGCAAATGTGGGCGTCCCCAGTGCCCCGTAGACTAAACTAAGCATAACTATCTGCGGGCCGCCATAGCTCTGTGGCGGTATGACTTCCCCAGAATCTGGGTTAAAGGCATATAGCAGAGATTGCTGGACTCAGGGAGTCATGTCAGCTTCGATGGCATTCTAAAGCAAGAAGTTTCGAGACAGCGCGCTCAACTTTGTGTGCGACGAGATACTTCGAGAAGCCAAAATCGTCTCCTCAGAGGAAAGGTCTTCTGGAACAACGGTTAGAATCTTGTTTTACATGTGCCAGATTGCTGGCAACCTCTCTGTTTCAAGTATGATTGGATACCGGCTAAAAATCGTCGTCGGGGTCTCTACTCTATTCTCCCACTATCCAGATCTCGGCGCATTTACTTCAGCACTAATATCTAAGGACAAGAGCCACTGCGTCGGTCATTCTTCGCGCAAAATCGATGATGCCTCGGCGTTCTCACGAGGCAAAGATGAGAACAGAGGCAAGAATGCCAGGACGAGCGTTAGTTACTTGGCTCGAGTCTGACATAAGCCAGGCTCAAGTGGCATTGCTCTTGGTATGGGGCGTTGACTCGGCAGTTTGAGGGCTGATATTCGCTCTGTAGTAATGAATCCTTTCCTTCTTTCATAATAATGTCAATCATAACCTATCTAGGACCTACAGTTTCCTCTATAATTTTTCTCACCGAGAATTTCCTAGCATAGACGTATGACCGCAGCTGCCACAAAAAGGGCCTTGCCCTTTCAAGGGTGTCAATAAAACATCCCATGGTTCATTGTTCGCCTATGACACAAAGCAGAGAGCCAGATACCGTGAATTGTAATGGGATTGGTTGGTCTGCAAAATTCTCCTGGCTTAGTCACAGAGCTGACCACTCATGGTTTGACATTTGTGGAAAGCACAAGTTTTTTGTGTTTCTGCCCCTGGCCCCGAGAGATAGAACCATGGTTCGGCCTGCGTACACACAAAGCACCTGGTTAGAGGGTTTCAGGGGATTCAGTGAGAATTTCTCTTTTTGTGAGAAGCCAGGAATAGGGACAGTATTGAAACGAAGACCTGAGGCAGGGAACAACGAAATTGTCCTTCGATGCTTATGCGTATAGGACATTGGTCATGAGCCTGGGTTTGTACATGTCATCGATTGGATTGGACACTAGGAAAGGACCTTTGGTCCTAATAGCTACAATTCTCCTATCGACAGAGACTTGTGGAGGAGAGCTCCACCCACAAGACTTGGACTTGACATCGTTTCCACTTTCGCCAGTTCAAGTGGTCTGGCCCATTCTCAGAACCTGACCTTGAAAATCCAAGAGTCTAGAATTCCAATGACAGGTTCTTTGCTTTTGAAAAGGTTTTACCTCACAATGTCCAGTTTCATGTTCTTTGTCTCTGAATGCTGAAACACAAGCATAGTAACAAATCAATCAACACAAAGGCATACCGAAGATAGTCCAAGGTCCAGAAGCCAGGACAACCAGACTCTGTGCCTTGCAGAGCGAGGGTCCCACACACAGCCACTGACCTGGGAAAGTGGCCAATGGCGTTGAAAATACGTATCATGAAGGTACGACCCATACTTTCTGGCGAATCCTAAAACAATACCACAGATGTCCTGGCACTGTCTTCAATGGAACTGCCAATAGGCTACTGTCGGGCTGTCAACGAACACACGACCACATCGATCTAGACCATGGCATGGTCTTTGTCAGGGATCCAGTACCGTGAACTCGTCCATGCTGACGCATTCCCTGATCCATCATCCTCGATTCTGTGATTCTATCCAAGGTTCAACCTCCCGAACCAAGGAAGACGACATCCACCAGCACCATGGGTGTTCGAGAACACAGATTCGACTTGGAAACAGTGGGGTGGCGGGTCATCAAACTTTTGTTTTCAGAGAGTTATAAAAGGGCGTGAGAAGGACCCTTTTGGACTCTTCCAATTCAACCATCGCTTTCGTTAACCGTGTCTATACACGCTTGCATTCCTTCATTCCTTTGGGTTGATACTTCAGTCACTCTCTTCGAATTCTCGATTCGTCGTTGCTCCAGTCAGTAACGACACTGCCACTCCTTCAGACTTCTGTAACCATCTGAAGCACGCTTGACGCGACGTCCACTCTCTCTTCCAAATTAGCTCCGTCGAGTCTCTGTCTATACAACTTCAAAATGCAGTTCACCAAGTCTCTCCTGCTGCTGGCAGCCCTCACCTCCAGCTCTCTGGCCCGTCTGCAAGGCCATGAGCGCCGTCAGAACACCCCCACGGCCTCCTCCACCGTCGCTCCCTCCTCCACTTCCTCCTCCTCCGGCGGCAGCTCTGGCTGGACCGGAACCCCAGCCAGCGGCTCCTACTCCACCGCCGGCTTCGGCAGCCGCACCTCAAACAGCGGCAGCGGCGTGACCTACGCCGGCAACGTCGGCAACCCCTGGGGCAGCAACATCATCGAGGTCTCCGCCGACTCCGCCTCAAACTACAAGTACGTCGCCCAGATCACCGGCCAGAACAGCGAGCCCTGGTCCATCGTCTTCTGGAACAAGATCGGCCCCGACGGCAAGATGGACGGCTGGTACGGCAACTCCGCCCTGACCCTCACCCTCAACGCCGGCGAGACCAAGTACGTCGCCTTCGACGACGACACCGACGGCGGCTTCGCGGCCGCCCCCGGCAGTATCCCCAAGGACTCGAACGGCGGGTATGCGTCGACCTGGGGCGAGTTCGATTTCGGCAGCGCCGGGAACGGTGGCTGGTCTGGTTTCGACGTCTCTGCCATCCAGGCGCAGAATGCCGGGTTGACTGTGCAGGGCATGAAGATCTGTGATGCGCTGGGTGGGACTTGCTCTAGCATCACTCCCAACGCGGCGTCTGTTAGCAATGCCTATACCTCTGCTGAGGCGGCTGTTGGGGGTATCGGTGGGAATCTCTCCGGTGGTGGTCCGGTTCGCCTGGCTGTTGTCATTGACTACAGTGGTTAAATGTTGGACATCTGGATGGACATTGAACAAGGAAACAAATATAGAAAATCATATAGATAGAGTATGGTTGCTTTGATAGCGACTACACATGAATCACACTCGTTCACAGTACTGGCATTCCAAGCAGTAGAAACAGGAACGAATCTTATGTCTTACTTAATTCAATGATCAATTGCCTAATATCAGCATAATCGTCTGTCCAAGATGGAGCAGTGTATGTCTAATCTTGTAGTCCGACATACCATTAGAATCCCGAAAATCATCGGCCTTCGCATGCCAAGACCGCTGGCCACCGCAATACCTCCGACGGAAAGCAACATCGCTATTGATCCTACATATCAGAGTGCTCATCACAGCTAATGATTGGTCATGTCACTGATATTCTCTCCAGCCATATTTCCGATGTAAAACTCCTGCCGTCATGCCCTGTAGCGCCAGCAAGGTATAAATTCCCCGGACGTCTCTTGTCCCAGGAGCCTTCAAGAAAACTACAACACAACTTTTGAATTCCCAGAACAGATAAAATGGCTCAAGTCTGGCTCATCACTGGCTGCTCCTCAGGCTTCGGCAGCCAGTTCGTCACGCAAGCCCTTTCTCGCGGGGACAAGGTCATCGCTACAGCACGCAACATCGCCAAGCTCGCCCACCTCCGGGAAGCGGGCGCTGCAGTCATGCAGCTAGACGTGACAGCCTCGCAAGAAGAACTGGACCAAAAAGCCTCTGATGCGATTGCTATCTACGGAAAAGTCGATATCCTAGTGAACAACGCAGCATATACGCAGTTCGGGACATTGGAGGACATGAAGTAAGTCTCTGAAGCTATCCACAGGATGAAAAATTAACAAGTCCAGCCATGATGAGTACCTTTCGCAGTTCACCACCAACGTCTTCGGGACCATCAACACAACCAGGGCGTTCCTGCCGCATTTCCGTGAGCGCAGGGAAGGCGTGATTGTTAACATTGGCTCCATGGCAGCGTGGGAGGCGTACCCCGCCGTCGGGGCGTATTGCGCCTCCAAGGCTGCGCTTCGCTGTACGTCGTCTTGATAATCAGAGTGTAGAGTCCATGCTGACAGGAACAGACGCGACCGAGGCTCTCGGTCAAGAGACTGCTTCTCTCGGGATCAAAACGCTCTTGGTTGAACCCGGTCAGTTCCGTACTGAGCTTCTGAGCGCCAATAATAGCATGTTCGTCGAGACCAGATTCCCCGAGTATCGGGCGTTGGCCGATGCTTCGTTCGCGACATTTCGCGATGCGCATGGGAAGCAGAGAGGGGATCCCAAGAAAGGCGTTGCGCGGATCATTGATGTGGTCAAGGGGGAGAACGCGGCAAAGGGGAAAGAGTGGCCAACGGAGCTGGCGCTGGGGCCGGATGCGGTGGCGGTGATTCGGAAGAAATGTCAGGATACGTTGAGGAAGCTGGAAGAGTGGGAGGAGTTCTCTTGTGGGACAGATGTCTAAGTCTCGTGTCCGTCACCCCTTGTATGTGGAGGGATAAACTTGTTGGTGTGAAGATGATGCGTAAATCTTGCCAGCCTCTTGAATACAACAAGTTCAGAACTGCGTCGTCCCTTTCAATCATCCACGGCCTCGAGACACGCATCCATCATCCGGTCAATAGCCTCAGCGCGTTGCAGAACAGTGATATACTCTCTCTCTGCAAGTTTGCTCAAGGCCTCACCAACCCAGTGCTGACAGTTCCAGTCCAGGTCCTGCGGCCCATTCTTGATTAACGTCTTTGCGACAGTGGACTGGATGGGTCCTGAGCCGATCGCGTCTGATATCTCAGCCACAGGCACCACTTTTGCGAGCGATCCCACGGCAGAAGGATCGCTGTTCTTGACTTGAGCATATTCGAACATTCCCTGCGTGCCTAGGATGTGCATGATAAAACTTTGGTTGTCAGGGGTCTTCAGGTACAAAGCGGTGTGGCGGTATTCATGGCAGTCCAAGGGTTCGCCTTTATAGACGAGGACATAGAGTTTGAGCATTTGAGGTGGAGGAAGAGAGTCCCAGTGACTCTTGCTATACCAGTATATCTACTAGATGACAGCTCCAGAGAGTGCAGGAAAATATCAACTTAACACACGTTGATAGTGGGGCAAGTGGCAGACTCTTCGACCAATCACAAAACATTTGGCAATGACGTCACATTTTTCCTCTATATTCTGTCCTAATCAATTATTCATCCCCTAGTATCCCTCATAGGTATAACTACTTAGAGAACTCATTAACATATATTATATGGCAAATTGTGTGGATATACTGAACTTGAGCATTGTTGACCTCCCAGAGACGCTGAAACCAAATGTCATAATCACGTAGTTATATATCTGGAAAATCTTCATCTGGCCTGAACACGGACAGTGCTCTTGGAATGACCGCTTATACACAAAAAAATCATGACTTTATGTGCATAATGGCTAGCTTTTGAGAAGTACTCATCACTCTCTGGTTCTGCCTTATATGACCTCCTAGAACTGACGTACTTGACCCAAGTGGAAGCCTCGCTGCATGGCAGTCACTAGATTGGACATGTCCCAATGCATTCAAGTCCGTAAGCGACAGATAATCTCGGCGGACAGTCAGCAGCCAAGTAGGCACCATCGCAATTGTAGTGCTGTCTAGCCCGAAATGTCGTCCCAGGCATTAGTCCAGTGTGCGAATCAGCCGTTAGTGAAAACATCATAACGTCTCATTTTCCTGACTGTGTGAGATGTCGCCAGATGTAGGCTACCCAGCAGGTTGTCGATCAATGCATCAGATGTGTAATCCGTTGCGACCCCAAGATCGCCAAGATGTCATTTCTGAGACATGGTCGATGGCGACCCTTCGTATCGAGCTTTGTGGATTATGTACTTGACGGTGCATGTCGACTGTCTGTTCTGCATTCATAGGGAGATCTATGTAATATAATTCTCAGGTGATATATATAGGTGGTCGTTAGGGACACACCCCCCTAACTTAGGGGCACACCCCCCTTCTGTAATTAGCTAGAATTAATGTTATGTAACCTGTACTAGTCGCCATAATCCTAAGTTTTTAATTTACTATATAAAAATAAGAGATAGGAAAACTGCAAGATATGTTGCGAGCAAGGCCCGCGATATGCTCGTGCCGCCTAGCAGGCACTCGCGAAGCCGTACAGCTCTGGGTCACGTGACACCTTGCTAGCTGCGGCGCGCAATCGGATATTTCTATCCAGACCGCG